TAGTACTTTAGTATATATATACTACCTCTATATATATATATATATATATATATATATACCTATATATGGCAATGATACCCATTCATCAATTCCACACGCTCTAAAATCGATCGCACGTTGCACCAGTGGTCCAGCCCCAAGTACCGTCTCGGACTCCGTGATGGCGCCCTGGACTAGGGGTCAGGCGACCAATCACATACCTCATTCCTGCGCATAGCGAGGGCCGTTCTACTTCAGAATGCCCAGTGGCGCTGCGGCTGACTGCGGGGTCGCAAAATGATTCCTGTACTTGAGTGATGTCTTTTCCTCGTCTTTTTTGTTTCACGTCTCGACATGTCTGGTAACCGCTACCCGCTATCCCCATCTTCTCCGCCTTGTTTTCTTCCCGGCCGCCACAGCCGCCAAGAGTCCTCAAAATGGCGTCGATCCGACTTATCAACACAGAGACATTGCGCATGAAAATGTTCGTCGGGGCTTCGGTCCCGCCCTACGCCATCTTGTCGCACACTTGGGTCGAGGACGAGGAGGTCAGCTTCCAGGAGATGTCGCTTGTCCACCCGGCCGGGGCCAGCGACATCAACGCCGGAACGCGGAATTGCGCGTGCACTTGTCATTGCTCCTGCTGCCGTCCGGGATCCGACAGCGACCCCACCGTTGCCGCCATCAAGGCCAAGTCGGGCTACGACAAGATCGTCCGGACGTGTCGCCTCGCAAAGGATCGCGAGATAGGATACGCTTGGGTCGACACGTGCTGCATCGACAAGACCAGCAGCGCCGAGCTCACGGAAGCGATCAACGCCATGTACCAATGGTATAGTAGTGCGGTCGAGTGCTACGCTCTCCTCACAGACCTGCAGCCGTTCGTCGCGTACAGCGAACACGGTGACGAGATCGGCGGCCTGGACAAGGCGCTGGAGGGGTGCCGCTGGTTCACGCGCGGATGGTGTCTGCAGGAGCTGATCGCGCCCAAGGAGCTCCTGTTCTTCAACAGGGAGTGGAGAGGCGTCGGCTCGAAGCTGCTGCTCAGGGAGGCGATCGAGAAGATCACGGGCATCTCCAAGGATGCCTTCAACCACAAGCAGGACTTGCGCCACTACTCGGCGGCCACAAAGATGTTTTGGGCCTCCAAGCGGACCACGACCCGCACCGAGGATATGGCGTACTGCCTCGTGGGCCTGTTTGGCATAAACATGCCGTTGCTCTACGGCGAGGGCGCCAAGGCTTTCCAGAGGCTACAGGAGGAGATCCTGCGGCGGTCGGACGACCTGTCAATATTCTGCTGGTCGCCGCCCGTCAACGAGGTGGTGGTGCCGGAGCAGAGCACAAGAACGTGCCGAGATCTCCTCGCACCGTCTCCGGCCGAGTTCGGCCTGTCGCGGTGGACGGATCCGGAGCTGCAGAGCTTCGACAACGGGCTGGCCAAGTTCTCGGTGACGAACAAGGGGCTGCTTGTGCAGGGCGGGCGGCTGGCGCCGATCCCCAAGACACAGGGCTCGTACTACAGCCTGGCGCTAAAGTGCCGCCATCGGCAGCTCAACACCGGGTGGATGACGGCGGTGCTAAACCTGCGGTGGATCGGCCCGTCCAGGTACGAGAGGCTGAGCTGGCAGGGGCTGTCGCCAACAACGTCGGCGCGACACCTGGCCATCTCGCGGGCAATGGACGACTTCTACATCATCACGAGGGAGGTGTACGAGGAGATAGCGCCGTCGCTCAAGTTCTACCTGGACGAGAACCCGCGGCTGCAGCTGCGGCTCAAGCCGACGGCCAACATCAGCGTGATGCAGCTCAACTGGATGAAGCCGCAGCAGAACTGGGACATGGCGGCGCTGCGGTTCGTGGGCGACGGCTGCGGCTGCATCGGCATCGGGTTGGGCGGCGAGGCCGTGTACCGGGGCTCGCGGTCGGGCAGCTGGACGGTGAACCTGTTCATCGGGTTCCGGCTGACGCGCCTGCGCAACGACTGCCACGTCTCACTCTACTCCATCGACGAGTGGGTGACGGAGCGCGGCTTCTACGAGGACCCGGACTGGCTGTCGGACCTGTACAAGAAGCGCGTCCTGTCGGCCGACTCGGTCGTGGCGGCCTCGCCCGACGAGACGGTCAAGGAGCTGCAGACAAGCTGGGGCAGCGTGCAGGTCCGGTGCAAGGTGCTACACCAGCCGGGGCGGCCGTCTCGGACGCTGGAGATTGAGGCTACGCACGTCATGAATGCCTAGGCACTGTACCATCTGCGAGGGAAAGAAAGGATAAAAACCCACTCAGTAACAGGGGGGGGTTAAAACTGGAGATGACAAGGGTAACGAAAAGGGGGTCACGTAATGGCATCAAGTCACTGCCATTATTGAAGTTGGTGAAAGAAAGAAGAAATCGAGAAAAGCAGGTACCTACCTCTGCAGCAGCAACACAGGAAAGACGGCTGGGGCCTTGTGGGTTGGGAAGAAGCGAAAACAGGGCGCTGCGTCTGGAATTTTTCTGGGACAGATTCGGTACAGACTCGTCCGAGCGATGGGACGAAGTGGGCCAGCCCCAAGGACGGATGAGCTGAAACGGCCTGCACGTGCCGTTGCCGTGGGAATGGGAGTGTTCGGACAGTCGCCGAGTATAGGACGATCATCGGCTGCTCGCTCTGTGGTGCAGCCGCGCATCACGATACCCGAGGGGATGGATGCCGCAGCGGCAGGCCGAATCTGCCGTCGCTATTCATAGACTGCGGCCGCGGGCGACCACGAGACCCTCGAGGTTTTCCGTCCCGGAGAAGCGGGATGGTGGCTCGCTTGGCGTCGAGTCAAGCAGCCAAGATGTAGGAAGCAACAGTGGATCGAACACGATGGGGGCCCGCCAGGGCAGCCCAAATCGGGCCTGACGGGTCCGGGGCCAGCCCCTGCTCGCATAGAGAATGACCAACGATCTTCATTTTAGCCCCTAAACAAGTACAACACGAGCTTGTGAGGGGGGAAAAATCAACCCACCCGCTGCGGCAAAACGGGGGGGAGAGAAGCAAGACCCCTCGTATTCAGCGGTGCTGCCTCGGCCCCGATGAAGCGAGTTTCAACCCCTAAGCAGGGAGGTCGGGTTTCCCCGAGCCTATGTGGTGTGTCGGGCGGACAATGTCGATATAAACGAGCAGCTCGCTGCTGGTGTGTCTGGAAATCTAGGCCTAGTCCTCACCCTCACCGGCCCGCACCAGTCTCTCGCTTTTGGCTCCAACATTGGACGCTGTACATTCCTTCTTATATCAGATAATTTTAGGTGCAACATCGGAAGGACAGAAAGAAACACTCATCAACAAGACTAATCCCAACGTTATGGCCTCAACAAAGATGATAGTATCGGCCGTGGCCCTCAGCGCCCTTGCTGGCGTCGTTTCTGCGGCTCCTAGGATGGGCCCACGTGGCATGCGGCCCAACGAGCCCGCCGTCTTCGGGGTGCCACCCATCGTGTTGTACGACCCCGTCACCAACAAGACCACAGAAAGCACCGACTACTCGCTGCTGCCGCCTCATGTGACGTCGCCCCGCTTCCGGCTGTTCCTGAACCCGGACGGCTCGGGCGAGACGAAGGAGGAGGCGCGGGCGGCTCTGGAGCACTTGGAGGCGGCCTACGACTGCTTCGTCGGCGATCTCGGCTGGAACTCGACGGGGCTCAGCGTCTGGAACAACGAGGGCAAAGAGCCGTACTACAAGACGGGCATCTCGCTCATCGCCAACGTGGGCGGCAACTTCGCGGGCCTGGCGCACTACTCGACCCGGGTCTGGATCCAGATCAACTCGGGCTCGCTGTACCCGTCGCTGACGGTGCACGAGTGGGCGCACGCGCTGCAGTGGCACCAGGGCAACGGGTGGCCCAGCATGGACACGTACCGCGTCTGGGGCGAGGCGTTTGCGCAGTGGGTGGCGGACACGTACCTGACGTCGGACCTCTGCGCGGCGGCGCGCGCCAAGCACAGCCTGCCCGCGGGCGACTCCCTCTTCAACCCCTACACCACCACGGCGCGGTCGTACCTCGCCATCGTCGACGGGTCCCCGCGCGACCCCATCACGGGCGGCAACAATTACGACGCCTGGCCGTTCCTGACCTACCTGACGTACAACCTGGACGGCTGGAAGGGCATGGGCCGCGACGGCGTCATGGCGCTGACGCAGCAGACCCCCCTGGGCGGCAACAACGAGACGCCGCTGCACGTGCTGCAGAAGGTGCTGGGGGACAGCGCCACGGTGCAGCAGGTCGTGGCCAAGTACTGGGCGCGCATGGCGTACGGCGACATCGGGCACCCGGCCGTGCAGCGCCAGACGGACGAGAGCATAAATTCCCTCAACCGCGACATGTGGGTCCGCGTCTCGGACGGCGAGTACAAGAGCCAGCCCGGCAGGTCGCCGCGCTACATGGGCGCCTCGTACGCGCGCCTGCTGACCAACGGCGACCAGCCGTACACCGAGGGCCCCGGCAACCAGACCAGCCGCGTCAAGGTGGCCATCAAGGACGCCACGGGGCCCTACACGGCCACGCTCGTGGTGCGCAACAAGGACTCCAAGGAGGCGCGCTACGTGGCCATGCCCGACGGCACGGTCGAGGCGGACGTGTCATCCAGGGAGCAGGCTACCGTCGCCGTCGTCAACACGCCGCCGCAGCTGCTCTCGTACGTCGGCGTCAATATGTACGGCACCCCGAGGAACGACAGCACGCTCGCGCCCGAGTCCGAGTGGGACCCGGCCAACAGGGAGATCACCTTTAGCCTCTCCGTCTCGGGCGGCGAGGTGTCCATGTACTAGGGCATTTGGGAAAGGGTGGCTCTGAGTTTTTGGAAGATGTCTCCTTGGCTTTCGGTTTAGCATAGCATAGCATATAGATTAGATTAGATTAGGTTGTTATCATGGTCATTAATAACGATATCATGTTGGGTGTTTGGTTCGATATTTGCGTCAATGGCTCTCCTTGTGAAAGACCCTAACCCTTGTCCAAGACCACACACGGTCACATGAGCGTGATGACCACATGGCTTGACGGTAACTTGGGTTCCTCCAGCCGACACAACAACCTTCATCCTGCCTTGAAGATACCTACTGCCTACCCACCTACCTCGTGCCAACCGCAACATCTCCCAAAACAACACCATGGGCGGCGGAAAACAACACCCCGGGTTCCCCAACCCCAACCCGACCGTCAGCCACTGGCAGGACCCCCCGCACCGCCTGGCCTCGCACCGCACCACGCCCGAGCTCCCGACCGACGAAGCATGGGACCACGTCATCATCGGGTCCGGCATCTCGGGCGCCGCCATCGCGCACAAGCTCCTAACCCGAAAACCTCTGCTGCGCGTGCTGATGCTCGAGGCGCGCACGGCGGCGTCGGGCGCGTCGGGCCGCAACGGCGGGCACTGCCGGCCTGGCTGGTGGAGCCACTTTCGGCGCTACGCCGCGTCCTTTGGCGAGGCCGAGGCGCTGCGGCTCGAGCGGCACGAGGAGCAGACGGTGGCCGACGTGGCGGCCTTTGTGCGCGAGCACGGCGTGCGCAACGACTTCCAGGACGTCGAGACGGCCGACGTTTTCACGACCGACGCCGCCTTCCGCGGGGCCCTGGACGCGCTCGCGTTCCGCGACGAGGTCCGCGCCCGCACGCCGGGCGACGTGGGCCCGTCGGTGGAACGGACGGTGTGGCGCGCCGAGGACGCCCGCGCCAGGCTGGGCATCCCGGGTATCGCCGGCGCCATCACGTACCCGGCGCACGCGCAGAATCCGTACCTGCTCGTGTGCAGGATGCTCGAGCTGGCGCTGGACGCGGGACTGAACCTGCAGACCAACACGCCCGCGCTATCGGTGGAGGAGGAGGAGGAGGAGGAGACGGCGGACGGAGACGGGGCAAAGTGGACGGTGCGGACGGAGCGCGGGGCGGTGCGGGCGCGCAACGTGGTGCTGGCTACAAACGCCTACACAAACAGCCTGTACCGCGGGCTGGCGGCCACGGGGTTCCTGACGCCGGCGCGCAGCCAGGTGGCGGCGCTGCGGCCGGGGTCCGGCATGGACTACGGCTACCTGACGGGCCACAGCGGCGGGCCCGTCGACGTGCCGACCGACGACTACTACATGACGACGCCGGCGGGCGTCGTCGTGTGGGGCGGGGGGAGGTGCCTGGCGCCCGGGCGCGAGGTGGGCGTCACGGACGACGGGGCCGTCGACGGGGCCGTCGCGGCCTACTTGCACGACGCGCCCCGGCACTTCTACGGCGCCGAGCGGTGGGGGAGGAGTGGCGGCGAGGATGGTGGGGCCGAGGTGGTGCGGGACTGGTCGGGCATCACGTGCTACACGCCCGACACGCTGCCGCTGGTCGGCCAGGCGCCCGGGCAGCCGGGCCTGTGGATGTCGGTGGGCATGAACGGGCACGGCATGGCGCTCGCGTTCCGGTGCGCCGAGGCGCTGGTGCACATGCTGATCGAGGGCAAAGGCGAGCCGCCCGAGTGGTTCCCGCGGAGCATGCGGCTGGCGAGGGCGTGGGAGGCGCCCAAGCTGAGGGTGGAGGGGTGGGTTGAGGGGACTGGGGGTGTGGTGTGAGGTGGGTGGGCATTGTCAGGGGGACGGGACGCCTGGGGTGATGATTACGAGATGAGGAACATGTGCTTCTTTTTCTCTTCTGCTGTCTACGAACCCAAATAATACTAACAACCACTTTCTTTCTTCAAGCCCCCTCCCTTCATGGCTGCGTCTCCACATAACGCCGCCGGAGCTGCTTGAGCTGCTGCACCCCGCTGCTGCCTCCCGTCTGCTTCTTAAAGTCCTCCTTAACCTGAGCCAGCAGGCCGTCGACAGTCAGCACGTCGACAGCGACGCCGGCCATTGCGGCGGCGGCCTTCATGGCCTTGTCGAAGCTCTTGCGCGTGCCGGCGGCCCCCTTGAAGGCTGCTGTGTGCGGCGCCGACGCCGTGGGCGAGCCGTCCTCGTCAAAGATGCCAAAGACGGGGTGGATGGCCGGCAGCTCCTCGGACACGTTCCCCTGGTCCGACGACGCCGAGGCCGAGCGCGACTTCTCCACGCCCGCGTCGGGCGTCTTGCCGCCGAGCGCCTCAAAGTTGCGCTTGTACGCGGCCGCGAGCGGGTCGTTGTTGATCATGGCCGAGTAGCCGCCCCAGTTCTTGGTCATGTTGAACGAGGCGCCCGTGCCCAGCGCGCCGGCCTTGACCGCGTTCTCGAGCTTGGCCACCACGTCGGCCAGCTCCGACGCGGACGCGGCGCGCGCCTGCCACAGCGCCGTGGCGCGGTCGGGCACGATGTTGACGGCGCCGGCGTCGGTGGCGAAGCGTCCGTGCACCCGGTCCGTGGGCCGCATCTGCGCGCGCGCCAGCCCCACGGCCGTCCACGCCAGGCTGGCCGCGTCCTGCGCGCTGACCCCCTGCCAGGGCGCGGCGGCCGAGTGGGCGGGTTTCCCACCGAACTCGATGGTGAAGCGATCGCTCGCCTGCAGGATCGAGTAGGCGCCGTCGCCGGCGTCGCCGCCGCCCACGGGGTGCGCCATGATGCTGACGTCGACGGCGAGGTCGCGGTACGCGCCCGCCTCGAGCAGCTTGATCTTGCCGCCGCCGCCCTCCTCGGCGGGGGTGCCTAGTAGCACGACGCGGCCGGGTAGGCGGTGGGCGCGCACGACGTCGGCCGTGGCCAGCGCCGCGGCCAGGCTGGAGGCGGCGATGAGGTTGTGGCCGCACGCGTGGCCGAGGCCGCTGAGGGCGTCGTACTCGGCGTTGAAGGACACGACGGGGCCGGTGCCGGTGCCGGTGCCGCCGGCGCCCGAGCCGAACTCGGCGACAAAGGCCGTGGCGACGCCGTACGCCGCCCGCGTCACGCGCCAGCCGTCCCGCCCGGCCAGGTAGTCGGTCAGGAGCTTGTGTGCGCGCACCTCCTGGTAGCCCAGCTCCGGGTTCGCGTGGATCTCCTGGCTGATGGACCAGATGTCCTGCGTGGCCGCCGAGATTGCCGACTGGATGTCGGCGAGGTAGCGGCCCCCGCCGGTCGTGTCGTTGCTCTGCTGCTGCCGCCGCTGGCTGCTCGCCGAGGCGGGGGCGGCCAGCGGGAGGAGGAGGAGGACTGTCTGCAGGGCCGAGAAGCGCATGTTGGCGATGGCGTCGTTGACGGGCCTGGCAGGTGCGGGACGGATGGTCTGGAGACACACCCGCTTAGCCGCTCGCTGTTGTTATATATATCCGCCGCGGGTCATCCCGCTGGAGCCTTCCCCATAGCCAAGCACCGCTACCCCTCACCCATCCTCGGCCGTCCTGTCACCATCGGCATTTGGCTCGTTCATACTATCGGCGTTTGGCCTCGGTAAGTCGTCCATCCATGGCGTAGAAAACGGTCCGCGGGAGGGGTGCTCAGTGAGCCCCCATCGATCGATCGGTCGATACCTGGCGGCCGACTGGGGCTCGCGTCGACCAAGCTAGGCTAGTTTAGGGAGGTGCCTCCTCGCTGCTTCTCAGCGTTGCAACATCGGCCCCACGCCGAAGCCGGGCTGGCCACGCCTATCGTGCATGTTCGGGAATGCATCGGGCAGTCGCCAAACAAGGATAAAGAGAAGAGTACATGTCAAGAGCTTGCTCGAGTCGTAACGGAGCTTGGAAACCCGGCAGTTGAGTGGTGGGTGTGAGGCGGGTGGATATGGGTTTACGAACAAAAAGAGTGTCCTGCCCCACACCGAGAAAAATGTAGGTATCTCGACAGCGGCAGGGTTCGAACCTGCGCGACCGAAGTCATGTGATAGCCTGAACTGTAGAATTCAAGTCACACCCCTTAACCACTCAGGCACGCTGCCAACGATGCTGGAGGGGTTGCTATCGCCGCATATGAGGACATTCTTGGAAAGGGCGATGCGGCATGTTTGCAGTTATGCTCCTCAGTGCGATCTTTACTCTTTACCAGAGGATCCTTTAATACACAGCTTTTCACGTCTCAAACATCAGCAGTTTTTGCGTTTAAATATTTCATTTTTAGCATTATTTGCTTCGCATTTCCCGTTATTCCTCTGTGAAATCGCTGCGCCGTCTCCACCGTGCAGCGTCGCCTCGCACCGTGCGGGCTCAGAGCTTGGACCAGAATGCGCCAGAGAATTTTCCATGGTAAAACGTCGTCACCAAATCCTCTAGGCTAGCCACCCAACCCCTCGCCTCGCGCGGTCACCCGCAATTTCTGGCTGGCTGGTGCTTTCAGACCGCGCAATGTCTGCTGCACTGCGGTCAGCAGTCCTCCGGCGCCTCCTCTGGCCCTCTGGCCGCTGCCGCCTGGCGTTTGGGACCAGCGCTGGCCCCCAATATAGCCCCCAACACGGCTCCCGCAACACCAGGGACTCTAACAAGCCTGTCTATCACCTCCGTGGCAATGTCCGTAAGATCCGTCGGAAGGCCGAAGAACAAGCTGGACCGGCGCCTCTTTCAACCATCGGCCTCGCCCGCGCCCTAGTGTCTCGCGCTGGGGGACCCGACCATGGCTCGCTTTCCTCGGACCAGAGCGCCGCCGAACCCATGGATGACCAGACCCTGCGCGAGGCGCTTTCCCAGACGTCAGCGGATGCGGCCCTGGGTGAAGCCACCCCCGCAGAGCCCGAATACATCTCAGGAATCCGCTCCGAGCCTGGCAAAAGCCTGAGGAGTAACCTGAAAAGGCTCAGCGCGGCCGTCAAGGATGCTGGTGATCGCGATTTCGAAAAGCTGCACGCCAGTGTGCGTGGGCCCGTAAAACACCTCTCCTTCACCCTCGCCTGGTTCAAGTACAGCGGCTTGTACGCCCCCAACCAGAAATACGACATGCCCCCGCCGCCCGAAATGCTCGTCGACTCCTTCAACGATTTTATGGCCGACCTGAACAACAAGCTCGCCAGCGGCTTCGGCACCAAATCCCTGCCAGAAGACCAGCTCGCGCGCTACAGGCTCAAGTCGGTCCTGCCCGAGAACCACACGCCGGTCCAGTTCAAGGGCTGGCCCGTGCTCCGCATCAAGTTCTCGGCGCCGCTCATGCGCGTCAAGGTCACGACCAGGGGACGCGGGCCCACTCTGGCCGATGCGACCACGGCCGCCATCGCCGGCCTCTATGCTCAGGAGGACGTGCGCCAGCTGATCAGGAACTTCAACCGCGTCGAGGCCGTCGTCCACGAGGCTCCACCGTCGTACGGGTTGCTGAGGAAGGTGTACACCTCGACTATCAGCGCGGGCGACTTCCCCCATATCCAAACACACCAGGACGAAAGAGGCAACGTGCTCCGCGTCACCAAACAAAAGTGTCGCTTCGAGAGGCCCATCAAGATCATCATCGAAGCCCCAAGGCTCGGCATCAAGGTCGAGGCCAATGAATACATTGAAAAGGCGTGCCGCGACTTTCTGGAAGCACTCGAGTCTCGCGTGAAGAGCGATGCCGAGGTCCCCGATGCCCCCTCCAGCTTCGGGTCCGTCACCCACGAGAACGCGCGGAGCATCCTCGAGCTACGGCACCCCGGCTGCGTCTTCTCGTTCTCGATGCCCAGGGACCTGAGCCTGCGCCGCATGGGCGTCCAGGTGGTCCAGTGCACCCGAAACTCGATCCCGTTTGGCCCCTCGGTCCTAGTGTCTCTTCCGCCGATTGGAAAGTGGAAAACCACAGATCCTGCAATTCAGAAGATTGCCCGAGAAGCAGCAAACTTTGCCTACATGGCCGCGGCCATGTATCCGTTCCAGGGCAAGGCGCCTATTGGGATGCCTAGCCACAGAAACCAACGACGCCTCGAGCTGTTAGGCTTCAGCGGGGAGTCCGACGAGGCGGCTGACGAGGAGGAGGGCGACGATCCAGCATGGCCAACCCCCAAAGGAATCGACTTGTCAAAGCCCAAAACCTGGTAAACAACCTTGGGTAACGCACAATATCTGGGGACCACGCAGCCGAACTTGATGCGCTCGTCGTCTGGCCTCCCAATTGGAGGAGAAAGGAGTTCCCTCGCACCTTGGAGAGATGTAGCCGGCGGCAACGCTGCTGTCCCTCCCCCTCTGTAACATCAATAGCACGTGTACAACTAGATTATCCACGAAGCAATGACGGCCCCCCGATGCTGCGCTTTGGGCGCCACTCACGAAAAACTTTGTCGTCGGAGCCACTTCTCTCGGAAGAGCGGTGTCTTGATCAACAACTATTGTTTCGGCTATGCGCCTTTCCTAAACGTCAGCCTAGCCATCATTCATTGCTATGCTCCTGCAGACCTGAGCTCAGAGCATGCGGGTCTTGATCAAGTCAGGGCCTGCATCAGGTACCATCGTCTCGGTGCTTGTCGCGGCGGCTGAACAGCCGTATCGATCAAGTGAGACCTGGACTCGGGACACTCGCCTGGTGCTGGTGCAGCCCCAAGCTTTTCTAGAAGGCTTGTGCTTAGGATACGAGCCGGGGTCGCTGATTGGCCAGCGGCCCAGCCGTCCTGCATTCCCTCCTCGGGAGCCCCCGCCGACGAGGAGAGTTTAATTGCGGGCCGTTGAGGGAATCTGGATGCCTAGAGCGCCTGGCCACTGCCTTTGCTCCAGCACACGGTCTGTGGGGTCAAAAGAGGGCGGGTAAGCGCTAGGTAGGGGTGACATAGCAGACGACCAGATAGCCGTACTAGTCGAATACGCTGGCGGCCTGTTACGAAGCTGGCCCGCTGATTGGCGAGTTTGGAACGAGCCTGTCTTGAATAGTGTCCGAACGGTGTCAGTGGATATCGCGAAGATACTTCCAGCGTCACAGTTGGCCATGCCGACCGCCTCCAGCGCCTAGAGCGTGCTCCTTTCCAACGAGGCAATTTCCCTCCTGGCAGGGAGCTCGGCAGGGAGCCCGGCCAAGCATAGGAGGAGTAACGACATGTCGACGACGATGCTCGGCCAGCCGCCGTCGAGTATAAGTATCGCCATCCTCGCCCGACCAGGAGACAGCTTTTCCCTCTTCTTCGGCCAGCAGCCAGCAGCCAGCAGCAAACAGCTTCAGGACCTCCTCAGCTTCCAACCAGCCCTTTCTAGAGCCCTCTCAGAAAACAAGATCCTTCGTTGGAATCTCACTCCCCCCCCTCAGCTCCAAAATGCGTTTCGCTCAGCTCGCTCTTGCCTCCCTCTTCGCCGGCGCCGCCATGGCCGCCCCGGCCCCGGCCCTCTCCGAGGTCGCCGCGGCCGAGCCGGCCGAGGGCGCCAGCGTTCTCGCCAAGCGCGCCGAGGGCATCCACCTCGTCAACTGCGAGAACTCGGCCGGCCGCACCATCTACAGTGCTGTCGTTGTAAGTTTTGCCTCAAGAACAACCCGCCCCTCGAGGCCCGCTGCTGACTTTTTTTGCTCCAAATCCAGTACTGCCCCAACGACAGCGACTGCAACCGCAACCCGGGCGCCGGCAACTCGTGCGTGCCCGGCGGCGTCATCACCTGGGAGAGGGCCAACGGCAGCTGCCGCTTCAGCACCGGCGTCACCTTCACCTGGGGCATCGCCAGCAACGCCCAGAGCTTCGCGGATTTCCAGCAGGTCGGGTAAGTTTGGCTGTCACGACACTAGACATATTCACACAAAAAAAAGCCACAAGCAAAAAAATGAAACATAAGCTAACCTGCTTTCTTCGGATACACAGCGATGGCGGTAACGGCGGCACCAACTTCAGGATCTTCAAGGACAACAAGCACCGCATGTACACGGACGGCAACGGCAACTCGTGCAAGTCCATCTACTACGGCCTCTCCTAAGTCCGGCGGGAGGAACGGTGAAGCTTGCGCTGCCCTACCAGGTCAAGGCCGACGATTTCGCTCGTGGAACCACTGGGAACTGGCGGAATAGGGCAGGCAGGAGTTCACATGGTCTCTGTCAACTCATCTCAGGATTATAGACTTGGGTATTTCTGCGCTGGAGGCGCTGGCGTAGTTCTTTGGGGCTAGGCTAGCTGCTTCACTTTCGTTAATGTCAAATCACATTCGCTTTCTCATCATGGACATGCTTGGTAGGGGTTGGCGTCGGGACTGTTCTCACAGGCATTAGACCGAGATCCACCCCTTTGTGGCACTTGCGAGTACCAAGTACAAAGGGAGCTTCCACGAGATTTGCCAACACGGCTACCAGCCAGCTTACGTGGGTCAAAAAGAGTATTTGAGAGATGACATATCCACTAGATTCTTCTATCGACTATCGTTCTGTCCAGGGGCTTGGGTTTGTGAAAGACGCTGAGAAACAATGGCTAAAATCTCATATCTTGTAAGGCATAATTACCACTACCACATATACCTGATCTGTCACGGTATACCACTGATCGAAACCGTAATCCAATCATCCTGGCTGCCCAGTGATCCAGCACCCCTAGAACCTCCTGATGAACCTGACCTCGTTCGCATTCATCTCCCTGCTCAACCTGATGCCGGGAACGGCGAGGTCGAAGCCATGCGCGATGCCCGAGTACAGCTGCAGCTCGACGTTGTTGTCGGCCTTTGCCAAGCGCGCCGCGTAGTCGACGTTCTCGGCCTTGAACAGATCCAAACTGCCGACGCCGACGTACGTATCGGGCAGGCCGGCCACGTCCTCCGTCCTCCCCGGGGCCCCGTACCTGACGCTGTCGCTGCCGGCCAGGTACGCGGGCCAGGCCAGCTCGTTCTGGCGCTGCGTCCAGAGCAGGTAAGGGTGCAGCGGGTCCGCGTCGTCGAGGCGCGTGCGGTCGTCGAGCATGGGGTAGCGCAGCAGCGACGCCGCGATGGGCGGGGACAGCCCCCTGTCACGGGCCAGGAGGGCGGCGCCCGCCGCGATGCCGCCGCCCGCGCTCATGCCGCCGACCACGATGCGGGCCGGGTCGACGCCAAAGGCGGCGGCGGATTGGGGCAGCTGCAGCCACGCCACGGTGGAGAAGGCGTCCTCGACGCCCGCCGGGGCCGGGTGCTCGGGCGCGATGCGGTACTCGGGCGCAAACACCTGCGTGCCCGCCCGCTCGGCCAGGTCGGCCATGGCGGGGGCCCAGGAGGGGGCGGAGCCGGCGACGTAGCCGCCGCCAAAGTTCATGACGACGGCGCGGCCGAGGTCGGCGGCGGCGGGGGTGGTGGTGTCGTTGGCCTGGAGGGCCTTGGGGAGGAAGCGGTAGACGTCGATGACGGTGCCGTCGAGCGACGTGACCTGGTGCTTGGTCTGGAGCATGCCGTCGTGGCGCGGCAGCGCGGCTACGATGGGCCCGAGCTGGGTGTTGACGGCCTCGCGCACGTCCCAGACGCTGGTGAAGTTGGGCTGTGGGCCGGACCCGATCTGGTCCAAGACGGCGGCCCACTCCGGGTCGACGCGGAGGGCGGCGGTCGTCTTGGCTGTCATGACGGCTGCGGTTGCGAGGAAGGGGAGCAGTCTCAAGGGTGCTGGGCTAGGGTGCTGGGCTGGGCCTTGGGCTTGTCTGTGAGGGGAGGGCGAGGGTGGTGTTTCGTGAAGGGGGAGGAGAGAGCTGGGCTATGGGGGTGGCCACCCTTTTATGCCCGGCAAGGTCTGCCGGCGGATTCGGTACATTACGATGGCCGCTGTTCCCGCCCCGCAACACGTCTCCCTGCAACGCGTTGTTTATGTCCGGTCAGCCGAGGGCATGAGTCGCAGGCTGACAAATGAGGTCGAGGTCGGCCCAGAGTGACTGGCCTTGCAAGCCGGCCGACCGGCAAGTCTGAGGGATACATACATGATGATAGCGCACTCGGTTTTATGCGCGAATGCCCGAGCTTTGCCGGATGCGCCGGGCTAGCTACCAGGCACCCTGTTTGGGCTGCTGTTGGGGGCATTGTATCGGCCAACAAGTTATGCGCGGTGGTCTGACAATAACACGGCTCTTTTGGGTAGTAACATTCGTCCGGGCTTTACCTTGGACTCTTTATCGCATCAATATTGGGCAATTCGCCACAGGCTGCCGTAGGGCTGATAAGGCGTGTCAGCCCCGTGCCCGGGACCGTCGCAGCGACACAGAGCCTCATGCATGACAGTGAACTTGGAACGCTTTTCATGTTGTGCAAGATATACATCTGAAAAAAAAGAACACACACCCCTCACGCCGGAATGATGCCCTGTTGCCTCGCCTCCTCCATCAGGGCGTTGTGGGCCGCCAGCTTGGCCTCGTACTCCCTGACCAGCACAGGGTCCGCCTCCAGGATGCCCTGCGTGCCGCCGCCGCCAAAGGCCCTGACGGCGGCGTAGTAGACGTCGGCCAGCGAGTTGCAGAGCGACCTAACGATGTCGTTGACGGATTGGCACTGGTATTTGAGGCTGTGTTTGGGTCGGTGGTCAGCGGGATTTGTCGCGTGGTTCTCATGACATTGAGATGCTGATTTGGAAACACGACAGAACAAAAGAAAAAAGAAAGAAAAAAAAACATACTCCACCCTAAGCTTGTTGTCGAGCCGCAACCGATTGCTCTCGGTGAAGCGCGTCTGGATCTTGAAGTTGCGGTAGCCAAAGTCGTGGCGGTGGCAGCCCGGCAGGAACGGGAAGCCGAGTGGGTTGTCGGGCGACGACGAGCAGCCGTCGGTCGTCCAGTCCAGCGTCGGCGGGTCCCGGGCCGCGTGCCGGGCCGAGAAGGCGGGCAGCGTTAGCTCGAACGAGTAGCGGTCCGTCAGCGCCACCAGCTCCGCCGTCTGCCGCGGCGCCACCAGCTCCGCCGTCTGCCGCGGCGCCACCACCAGGGGGGCGGCCGGGGCGGCGGCGGCGCCGAGGACGAGGGCGAAGGCGGCGGTGAGCTTCATTGCTTCTTGTGTGTTCTGTTCCCTTTGTGTACACGCTGCTTTGGGACCTGTGGACGGCTGAGAGGAGATGGGAGGAGGAGAGAGAAACGAGACCGGCAGTCAAAAAAAGTCGCAACACTAGCTACTCAGGGGCAGAAACCAAAGGGATGCTCGTGCCTGACCTTGGGCTTTCAAAACACGCAAGCATCGCGTGGCGCCCATGCGTCTTATGTACCGCACCTAGCAGTGCCGATCCCGCCCCCGTCACTCGTCGCCCGCGCCGCACTAAGCGCCCGCCCAGCCCGCCCAAGCCCAGTCAGGCCTGTTTGCCGACCCCCTCTCGGCCCCCTCTCCAAGAGCGGCGTGGTCACAAGATGCTGCAGCTGAACAAGAAGAGAAAAAAGGCCGCATCCTCACCCCGCAGCGGGAGGAGGGGTGCAGAAACGCATTGGTGAGGGTACGATGGAGATGTGGTGGAGGCGTGCGTATCTGTCTGCCCCAATATACGAGCGGGTAGTCGATATGTGGCAGAAGACGGGGCTCTTGGTGGAGGTGTGCCTCGAAATGGGGGCGGGTGGGCGGATACTACCGTCCACCGGTGTTTATTCCTCCCTCCCCGCGTCGTCTCGGGCCTGTAGGAGTTCAGCATCGTCGCAGGTGTAGTGAGCTGACAAGGGCAGCCAGAAGAAACGGGCCGAAAATCATCTTGAACCAGTTGGCAGACAACAGAGACTTGGAAAAATACCTAGACAGCTGGGAGCGGGTACCAAGTCCGAGCATTCAGCTGAATACGTCATTGGCTGCACCCATCTTGGGTACAGGATGCGGGGAATTCTGGGCCTCGTTGCTTGGTATTTGCTTGGGATTGGGCCGCTGCTGTGGACCCCGGCCGGCATATTTTCATCCCTCCTTTCATAGAAGCCCTCGTGGCCCCCCTCTCGAAAATAGACCAAGGCTAAGAGTAGAAGGTGGGAAGTTTCGACGCTCCGGTATACATATGTGAGCAATCCACAGGTAGATGAATCTAGGAAGGAAAAAAAAAAATAGTCCTCGTGATCCGAATTTCCCTACCACCACCCATGGCCAAGACCAGACGACGGAAAGGTGTGCCGGCTACGGAGACGGTGATTGGCTGCGGGGGGATAGCGCAGCACGCCCACCATAAAGAAGGGGCAGTCTTATAGGTCTTGGGAATGATAATCGTGAGAGTTATGGGATTTCCCAAACTTGTTGCTATTCCTGTTTCTATTCTTGTCGTCATTCCTGTTCCTCCTTGCTAGAAGGCTTTTTTGTGGTGGGCATGCATGCACAGTAAGCGATTGACAGTAAAAAGCAAGTTGGAAAGTGTTATTGATTGCCTTGTATTGGCCGTGAATGGGTGGCTTTGTGCCCGTTAAAATGAGCGACGCGAATAGTGGTGTAAGGCTGTCTGACGGCCTAACTGGGGTTCTGTATTTCCCCTTGACTGCTTTTTTTTTTCGTCCCCGCGCCGTCCATCAACTTATGAAAAGGTGTAGAAAGGAAACGACACCAAATAGGAATAAGTCCACCAAGCAAATAGGTATCCTACGAAGCGAAATAGAAAAATAAAGGTTGAAGCGCAGGAAACAGAAGTGACAGAAACAAAAAAAAAGCCGCCCCCACCTCCGCCATAAATGGAGGGGGTCGTTGACAAAAAGAAAAGCCCCGAAGCAACACCTCAGCTGTCCCAGATGGCGCCGTACGCGGGCACGCCCCTGGTCTCGAGCCCGTAGACGACCTTCTTTGTGATCTTCTCGTTGGCGATGATAATCACCGCCTCGGCCCCGAAGCTTTGGACGAGGCTGTACGACATGGCCACCAGGTCGGGCCTGCCCAGCACGCGCGTGTCGTGGATGACGGCGTCCGGGATCGTCCTGCGGATCGCGTCCATGACGCCCCGGCCAAACGTCTTCTCCGGGTTGGGCGTCGACCAGATGAGCGCGGTCGGGCAGCTGGGCCGCTGGACGTGGCCCAGGAGCGGGCCGATGCCGGACCCGGTCCCGACGACGACGACGCGGTTGAAGAGCGTCGCGATGCGCATGACGCCGCACGTCGGCACGCTGCGCACCCACAGCTCCGAGTGCGGGTTGCGGATCGCGTCGCGCGTCCAGTCGCCCGCGTTGGACACGACGAGCGAGTAGCCCGGGCGCCGCCCGTCCTCGGCCGTCGGCGCCGGCACCGTCGCGAACGAGTGCCACTCGACCAGCGGGCGCTTCGACACGCGCGCGAAGCTGCCGTTTACGGGGACCGTGTAGTCAAAGTGCAGCCGCACCGCGTGGTCCGACAGCACCTCGGACTCGACCTTGACCTTGCGCAGGTGCGTCCACGAGAGCGCGATGCTGACCGTCGCCACCGCCAGCATCCAGAGCGCCGGCGACTGCAGGCAGGCCCGCCCGAGGCTGAGGGTCCCCTGCGACGCCGCGGCCGCGTCGGCGGCCCCGACGACCGTCTGCGCCCAAAAGAGGCCGAGCATGGTCCAGCCCACGAAACGGTGCACGCGCTCGAACCGGTCGTGGTACTTCTTGCGCATCGTCGGGTAGGCAAACACAAACATGACGCAGTAGAGCCCCGTCAGCAGCCACGAGAGCACGGCCGTCGCGATGGAGGGCGCGGCGCCGGCGCCGGCGCCGCACTCGGTGGCGGAACAAACAACGCCCGAGAGGTTGAAGGCGAGGAGCCAGGCGCCCGAGCAAAAGGCGGCGCTCGAGTGGACGCCGCCGAGGTGGTAGATCTTTGCGGCGCGGGCGCGGATGGCGAGGGGCCACGACTTGGGCACCGAGCAGAAGACGCTGTAGAGAGCGTTGATGACGTGGTCCTGGCGCACCAGCACCGCCACCACCAGGTTGATGGCCGTCATGGTGCCCAGCCACCGCCGGTCGACGCCCAGCGCCAGGATGCAGACGAGGGCCGCCACGTTGGCCACGCCCACGACCGAGAACAGGAACCGGTACACGATGAAGACGCGGTAGACGAGGTTGCGCTGCGTCTTGGGCCTTTTCTTCTCCGGCAGCGGCAGCGAGAGGTCCGGCGACCGCGCCGCGGGGGTCTGCTCCTGCTCCTGCTCCTGCTCCTTCTCCTTCCCGATCGAGCTGGCCGAGCTGCTCGTGGTCCCCGTAGTGGTCTTGGACAGGGCCGTCTCGGAGCCCGACGGGGAGATGCTGCGCTCGGCGCTGGCCAGGCCGCGCAGCGCCCGCTTGTCGAGCTTGCCGTTGGCCGTGTGCGGGAGGTCGTCCAGGAGGTGGAACTTTGTGGGCACCGCGTAGTAAGGCTGCCGCTTGGCCATGTGCTCCTTGACCTTGGCCACGTCGCAGCCCGCCGGCGCCAGGAAGCCGTGGATCTCCCGGTCGACTAGCAGCGCCACCGCCTGCGTGACCCCGGGGACAGAGAGGAGCGAGGCCGAGACGCCATCGAGCTCGACGCGGAAGCCCTTGATCTTGATCTGGTCGTCGACGCGCCCGAGAATGTCGATGGTGCCGTCGGGGTTCCACCGCCCGAGGTCGCCCGTGTTGTACATCACGCTTTTGTCGATCCCGTTAGTAAGACTCATCATCGCTAGGCTAGTTACTTGGGATTGTGGGTCGCTTACCCGTCACGAGCAAACTTGTCCCAGAGGTACCTCTCGGTCGTCTTGTCCGGCAGGCCAATGTAGCCGCGGGAGACGCCGAGGCCGCCCGCCCACATCACCCCAGGCGATCCCAGGGCCACCGGCTCCAGGTTGTCGTCGAGAATGTAGACCGAGTTGTTGGGCGTCGGCGCTCCGATGGACAAGGGTGCCCCGGGCACGTGCTTGTCCATGGTGTTGACGATGGTCGTCTCTGTCGGGCCACAGCAGTTATAGTAGGTGCCATGGGTAGCCCACAGATCGGCGAGCCTGAAGATGAGAACGAGGCTAGTGTTAGCGCTGTCGAGATTTCGGGGGGTGCACGAATGTTCTTGCGAATTTCTCGCTCACCTCTGGTTGCTGGGCTCCCCCGCGGTGGCCACGGTCTTGATGTTGGGGAAGGTCAAGGGGTCGTATTTTGACAGGATGCTGGGGGTGCAGATCAGGACGTCGATCTCGCGGATGGTCGGCAGCCAGTCTGAGCCCCGCAGGACCAGGGTTCCGCCGTTGCACAGACATCCCAAGATCTCCCATGCCGCTAAGATCCATGCTTGTTAGCAAAATGATAGAGAAACAACCCAGCTGGTGCCTGAAGAACGATCTCACAACATACCCATATCAAAGCTGATGTTGAGGACCTGACCAACCCGCATCCCAGGCTTGATGCCCAGCCCTCCAGGGGACAGGCAAAGCAGGTTGGTCACGTTCCGATGCGTCACATCGACGCCCTTTGGCGTACCAGTAGTTCCTGCAGACTCTCGCGGTTAGCATCTGAGCGGCGCCAACCCTGCCAGGAACAAGACCGAACCCACCAGACGTGTAAATCACATAGCACCCATGGTCGGGCGTCGCAAGGTCGACAAACTCATCCGTGGCCTTCTCGTACTCGTCCGCCTCGCCGGCGTCATCGGCGGGAATCACGACCGTCAGGCAGTCCTCGCGCACGGCCTGGACGCGGTACTCGGTGGAGGCGAGGCAGAGCGCGACCGTCTTGCGGCCGGGCGCGCCGCCGGCCTGCTCCAGGGCGAAGGCGAGCGTCGAGTCGGGCACGACGCCGCCGTCGAGCGGCACGTACTGGGCGCCGCACGCCAGGACCGCCAGGATCCCGACTAGCATCTCGACCCCACGCTTGACTACCAGGGGGACCCGGTCGCCGGCCTGCACACCCAGCTTGCGCAGCTGGTGAGCCAGCCGCCGGCTGCGCGTGGCCAGCGTCGCGTAGTCCACCTCCCTGACGACGGCCCCGGGCCCCGCTCCCTTCTCGAGGGAGGAGAGGTCCCGGGCGGCCAGGGCATGCGGGTGCATCTGCGCGTGGTAGAAGAAGGCCGCCGTCACCGTGGGGAAGGGGATGGCTGCGCTGGGCCCCCGGCTGAAGCGCAAGGGGTCGCCGTTGCCCGCCTCCGTGGTGGCGGCATCCCACGTCCGCGGGGATAGAAGACCGGATATGGTCATCTTGTCGGGTTGACGGAGTTGCAAAATTAGAGGATAAGGGGCATGTAGACAGGCCACAGAGAATAGGGGGCACGAGGCTATGGCTAGCAGGTATAATCCCGCGTATGAAGCTCCAGACTACTCGGTTGAGAGACTTGGGGCTTCGACGAGGAAGACCGAGAAGGCGCTCACGTAGCTGACGACGGAGTTCTCGGCATAAGGATGGATGAGAGAAACGTGTTGGGGCCGTCAAGGGTTATGGAAGCTCTGAGGGAGAGATAAAGTTCGGCAAAACTAACATGAGCGGACGGGAGCAACCTTTATAGACGATGCAACCATCTGCTCCTTGTCCAAAGACGAGACCCGTCAAGACGAATCACGCCCTTGGCCAGGAAACTTGCGGATTCGGCAACATGGAAGGAGACATCCCTGGCCCCCTTGCCGTCCGGCTCCCCTCCCGGCGCCGTTCGGGCACCCCCTGCTCGTATCCGATCTGGCTACCAGCCTGCGACAGTGCCAAGCATGACGATGCGCTGCTGCAACGCAACATTGACCAAGCTGTCCAGGACGGCGCGTACGTAGAGGACGTTTGCCCAGAGGCGACCGGATGGGGCCGGACCTCGAACATGGGCCATGCGGAAAGCCGCCCTCGTCGACCCCATACGCAAAGCATCCATTGGCCCGTCGAGACAAGGGGGCACGACTCTCCGATACGGAGACCCAGCTTCCAGCGGTCCACTCACCTCGGCCGCGACGAGAAGGGTAGTGAGAGATACCGCGCAGTCGCATCCCTGCGCCGTGGGTGGCTTAGCGTCCTCATCCCGAGGACCCCGTGCCCACGGAAGGAGGTGGAGCGGGCCAGAGGGTTGAGGTTCCTGGCGGGGTCGTGCTTCTTGGTTCGGAAGGACGGCCGTTTGGTGCGCGCGGAAAAGAAGGGAAAAAACGAGGAATGCAAGGTCGAAACAAGCAGGGTGATCAGAGAGATAGCTCCCGCCTTGTCAGGATGATCCTATCGGGCGAGAGAGAGCAGAGCAACGGATGATGGCCCAGGAACAGCGATCAAAGGCTCCCCTGAGGCCGTGTCTGGCTTGGTGCCAACCCCACCGTCGCATGCCGGCACCTCTTTCGGCCACCAACACCGCTGCAAAACGCGTGCGCGCTGGGGGACCTTGAGAGCCTTCCGCAGGTTGCCCTTCGGGAGTTGGGTTAGAACAGAAGCGCCCCACGCACCGCAAGAAGGTCTGGGCGGCATCCAAAGTGGAGCCCCCTTGGCCCCAAGACAATCTCGGCGGGGTGCCAAGTAGTGGCCATCATCCATACCGGCCTTACATGGCAGGTGTTTGTCCCTTGACGGCATGAACACGCCCGCCAGGCAGTTGCCTCCTTTCATGCCATCGCAACGTCGCTGTCGCCTCCGCACGTCGAATATTCGCGGATCATGGCGTCTCTTGCCAGGACAATGGTGCTCGGGGCCACGCCTTGACTGTGGGTTGCATGCTCGCGCCCGCGGGCTGTCGAGGGCGGTTGGTGGCCGGCGCAAGTTGGCACGGAGCTTGCCACTCGCCAGGGCCAAGCGACAGCCACGACCTTCCGCTTCAGGCAGGTATCTACATTAAGCACATGCAAAGGAACCAAAAGAGCAACCCGGGCTCGCATCACGGCTGATGAATAACCAAGGCGATCAGAACCTGCAAGACTCAACGCCCGGAAAGCAACACAACATACGGAAAGTAAATATCAAATTGGAGGGGCGGGGGAGCATGGGAGATGGAAATGGCAAGGGCGGTAGGGTGTTGTCCGCTATGGCGCATTCTTTGTTTATCCTTCTTCCAATGGCACCGTGCCGCTAGCTCAAGCATCGGCTTGGGAGGCATCCACGACTCCACGACGAGAGGTTCAATCTTGGACGGGATGTAGAGGCCGCCCGGGCGCAGCGTGACGTACCAGGGGTTACCCGATGACGGAATGACGGGGTTGAATCGGGGGTAATGAGGCAAGGCCGAAAGTCGCAACGAGGAGGCATGCCAAAGGTGCGGGAGAGTCCGCCGTCGTCCGTTTCTGTCTCTGCACAAATCCTTGAACAGGACCCAGAAGTTGCGATTAATGTTTGCCGCAGCTCGCACTCGGTGGTGGCGCGCATGATTGTGTAAGATAAGCCCCTCGAGTGATCTTGCCTCTCCACGGTGGTTTATTTCTGTGTCTCCAGCATCTCCAGCCCCGTTTGTTGTTGCTGGGTGAGGCAACCTCGTGTTGATAGCACGCACCCATGCCATTAGGGTATTCCTGCCGCTTCCTGGTTCCGTTTCGGAAACACTGGAGACGGTGGCCGTGGACTTCCAAGCAGTGGCCTATGTAGCGGTCCAGGTAGTGGTGGCAGCGCAGTTTTACGCGGCCCACCCAAAACATGGACCACGGTGGCAAGATTGGCGAGGGAACCAAGCGAGGGCGACCCTGCTGCCGTCCCGGCCCAGGTTGCTCCATCTGGCATTGATCGGTACATACAAGCCGCCATCGATGGGGGAAGGTCATGGATGTGTGCCGAAAAAAGCAAGAAAGAAAGAAAAAGAAAAAAGTTCCCGAGTGCCCACTAGCGACAGACCTCGGGCGCAAGGGCCTCGCGTGGCATCTGGGGCGCGCAATGCGCAGTGCGGCGCAGGCGCAGCCCCTGCCTCGCTTGGCCGATATGCCGTCAACCCTGAGCGTGAATGGATCAGCGGGCTGTCTGTGTCTGGCATGTGGAAAAGTCCCAGCCCGTGTTCCCCATTGATGGAATCTCCCAGAGACTGGTCCGGGTGGGGTGCCGGCGCGAACAGCAAAATGAAGGTGCTCAGGTCAGAGGCCGTTTCCGTCCTTTTTTTCGCCATGATTGATAATGATTAGCTCAATGTTCACAACCCACGGCCCTCTCCTCTGCCCGTCTGTCTCTGCGGCCTGAGATGGTGTTTTAATTTGTGTATCCGTGGATCATCTCCAAGTTCTCGGCCCGACGGAGCCTGGCTCCGAAGGCCGCTGCGTGCGTCTGCGCAAGCCGGGGGCGGCACCGAGGCCTCGACATGAATGTGCCTGCACGCTCGGGCACTGACCGGTTGGCTATATCGTAGGCGGACGGATCGTTAGGGAGGCCGGCAGGCAGCAGGCAGGCATGTCGGTCGGGTAAAGGCAGATGGCAGGTAGACTGTCAAGGCATTTCGCTGGCGCCCCGCTCGACGACTTCGGACGGTGGCATTTGGAGGCGGTTGGCGATCAGGTCACGCTGGGAGTGGGCGACAGGGAGCTGGAGTGGGGAATGGCTGGCCGTCAGAGACGCGACAAGACGATGAAGGGCACTGACTTGCCCCACGCCGGCCTCTTCCAAACATGGACAGATGGGGTGATCCTGGAATGTCGACGAGGTCTGATCTGATATGTAACGGCGGCAATGGAAGGACGCTGGGGAGCCTGGTCGTGCTGTGCCGTTTGTCGAGTAGCTTCTGTCAAGCTGGGATGCAGTGTGACATCGATCGTCGGTAGTCGTCGAGCTTGCCCCGCAAGCAACACTGGAGCTTGCAAACTTCACGCGTGCATGAAGCTATCTGCACAAGTCAATTGCGCAGCTTCCTTTCCGCACTTGCCACCCACATCGACAAATCCATGAGCGAGCAAGACCTGCGCTCTCTTGAACAAGCGATGGCGGCGATGCCAGGAAACCCGATTCTGGTGACGAGGAGCACGCCTTGCCCAGGCGTGGTTGTGCTGACTCTCAATCGCCCCGAGAAGAGGAACGCGCTTTCGCAGGCCTTGATCAACAACCTCCTGCGCGAGCTGACACTTGCCTCGAACGATCCTTCCGTCAAGGCTGTTGTGCTGTCAGGCGGCCCGGCCTTTTTCTGTGGTAAGTCCCGCCCTGAAACTGTTGCGGGAGGGAGGAGGGTGGACGAGAACAAGCGGATGGAGTTTGAGCGTAGCCACGCTAGTAGAACGACGGGACGCAAAGAAACTGACACCTTACAGCTGGTGCGGACATCAAGGAGATATCCGAGATCGACGCCGAGGGCGCTAGAAAGCACCGATACCTAGAAGACCTTTGCAATGGCATGTCGTCGTTTAGGAAGCCCATCTTTGCCGCCGTAGAGGCCATGGCTGTGAGCGTCCAACATCCTCTGAATCATCACAGCCCAACCCCAGGTCGTCTGGCTAACCGATTGCTCGATTGGTGTGTTGCGCGTGTAGCTTGGAGGGGGGTTCGAAATATGTCTGATGGTATGTGGTACTTCCTTGACCGAGCCAAGGTTGGACGGCCTGGATGGATCGTGTAAGGATATGCTTGCTGACCTTCGTCCCTTGCCTCCAGTCCGATCTCATCTTTGCTTCGAAAGGGTGCAAGTTTGGCCTTCCAGAAGTCAAGATCGGGCTGATCCCTGGCGCAGGCGGCACGCAGCGGCTGACGAACGCTGTCGGCAAGTATCAGGTTGGTCTCCTGGCAACCTCCAGGGCTGGAGGGCGTATCCAGTGCTGACGGGATGGAAACAGGCCATGAAGATGATCTTGTTCGGAACCATCATCGACGTTGAAGAAGCGTCCAGCCATGGTCTGATTGCCGGCACCTTTCCTCCGGGTGCAGTCCTCGACGGCGCCATCAAGGTTGCCCAGCAGGTTGCTGGACTGAGCTCGACAGCGGTGCAGCTGGCAAAGGAGGCTATCTGTCGAAGTGCGTGGTCCTTGGACTTCTTTCTTTGTGTTCCACGCCACTCCCTTCCTCCTTTTTGTCATTTTCCTTCCATGGCCTGGGCCAGAACTTTCCTCGGCGGCGTGTTGCTAACATGAATCGACGCTTAGGTGACAGTCTCGGTCGCGACGACGAGTTCGAAAGGAGCTTGTACTACTTCTCGTTTGGGACAGCTCATAAACGTGAAGGCATCTCGGCCTTCCTCCAAAAACGGCAGCCTGACTGGGAGGGCGCAGATCGAGGAGCGTAGTAGGAGACCTAGTCGGTCGGCGTGTGTTGGATGTTGGCTCTGACCCTAGGGGTTGGCATGTCGGCGGCGAATACGTTGCCTCTCGAAGGCACTCGAACCCACTCGTCACCGCGGTTGGCTATCGAGGGGTCCTGTCGTCGATGTTTGTTCGTTTTCGTGGTTGAGGGAGTGCCACAAGGTACAGGTCAGGGCGCCACGAGAGGACAGCCTCCCTCAATGTTGGAGCCCGATGGTGGGGTGAAGGTTGATTTTGAGGATGGCTGGGCCACGAGGAATGGCTTCGACAGGCGAGGAGTCGGAGCGAAGCCATGGGTATCAAAAGAAAAAGAAAGAGAAAATCGGCCTCAAGGTTAACAGCGCGCCTGACCATCTCCAGCCGTGTGTCCAGCCCAGCGTCCGTTGTTCCACTGGGCAAGAATCGGCGCAATTTAGTGCAATATTGTGCCGGGGTTGGCATTAGGCCGGCAGCCGCTGCTGGCTGGGCTGCAATTTGGCAACGGGGTCAGCACCGTGAAGGCCCATGAGAGCCAAATCGATGGGCTCAGCTTGGAGTGGGTGGGATTTAGGCGGCATCCTCTGCCATCCCACGATCCGAAGCAGGGTCGCACTTTCCATATCCATGATGCAATACATTTGGTCCCAGCCACGGCTGCTGGGGCGAGTCAGAGAAGCGGGAGTGCCGTAGTCAGCGTCTGTCGATCGCCTCAATGGCGTCTTCTGTCTGTTCGTTTGACCCAACAAAACACGAACACCCGCATCAATATTGATGGGACCACCACATCACGATTACGATCATCAACGGCATCAGCACCAAGGGCTGGAAATACAAATCATTCTCGCCACACTCAATAGGACCGCCAAGCCTCAAGCCGTCTTCGGTTACGGGGTCCGAGGTTCCAGGCGCTCAAGGTCTGGCAGAGCCGCTTATTGGCCATGCAAGTATTTGTCAAGCGTTGCATCGAGTCTACCTTGCGGCAGGTACCTAATATAACTACAGCCCCCTACTCACGCACTGCCAGCCAAGCCAGCCGGGACACGGAACACGGAACACGGGACATGCAGCTGCCTTTATTGACTTCTGTCGACCACCGTGTCGACTTGGCTTGGTTGGGCGGCTGGCTCGGGCCAAAATCCCCGTGCGCGGATTCGGCAGCAACCAATGCTACGTCCCCGACGACAGCCTCCGACGTAGTGCCCTGCCACGATGCCACAATGCCACGATGCCTGCATTCTCCACGGCGAGCTGCAGAATCCCGCCATCGTCCTGGATCCTTCGCTCCCCTCCCCATCGGCCCGTCTCCTCTTACTGGCTGTCGGCATCTTATCTCCCCCTCCCCCGTCTTGGTCCCGTGCCGACCTCCCGACTCGCCTCGCCACCTGCTGGCGGCTATCTACCTCGTAGGTAGGTGGTAGGTATCTATCACAGTCACGACGGGAAGCTCTTGGGGCACGGCAGGTTGCTCACCTACCACTCATCACCCTCCGCGATGCTCAGCTTGCGGAACATGTTGTTCCGCCCAGTGACAAAGTCGAGCTCGTCGATATCAGCCTCCGAAAGACCACTCTCTGCATCGTTGCTGTCACGGCCGTCACCGCCTTCCCGCCTCCTTGCCTCGAGCACCTCTTCGATAGCCCAACTGATGCGCTCGGCCCCCGTCCTTACCCCGCCGAGATTGGTGGCGAACGGACCCAACCGCAAGCCGGCAAAGCGGCCGGTGACGAATAAAGGTACCCCCTCACACCACATCAGGTCGTCGTTCAGGCAAGGGAGGCCGCCCTGCGTTTCGATTGGGTAAGACCGGCGGAGCCCGTCGAGGAAAGGTAGTGTGCCGATGTCGGCGTCGATACCCGTTGCGAAGTAGATGAAGTCGAAGGCCGGCATCCTGGCCCCCTCCTCGAGGGCCGGCTCGGTCGTCACGGTCCACGTCTGCGACTCCTCGTCGAACTCCGCCGCCGTCACCTTGGTTCCCGTGCGCAGTTCCAGTCGTCCCGCGGCCACATGAGCCTTGAGACGCTTGTGGTACATCGGGGTCATGCTGCCGCCGCTCCTGGCCTCCCGGATCAGGCGCAGGCGCTCCACGTCCGACTCTGCGCCCCAGAAGTTGGCCTGCTCCACGTTCCGGTACTTGCCCACCCAGGCCAGGTCCGCGTCGAAGTACTTTATCTGACAACTGCGACCCCGCACTAGGTGCCAGACCTTGCTGACCCCGCGGCGGATGGCGAGGTCCGTCAGCTGCGCCGATGTCAGCCCTCCGCCCACGACGAGCACGTTGGCCGGCCGCTTCCCCTCCGCGATGATGGTGCCGACCGACGGGTCTGGAAAGCCGCCCTTGATCATCATGGCGTGGCATATGCGCGGCGGGAGCGGGGTTCCAAGCGTGTGGCGTAGACCATCGATGTCCTTGGGGATGCAGGGCTCGTTGCCGGGACCGACCGCCAAAACTACCGTCTTGGCGAAGTGAATGCCACCTTTATCCGTCGTGACCTTGAAGAGCTTTTTATCGTCCTGGGTGTCCTGAAAAGAGCTGTACTCGATGTCCAGCACGCTCTCGTGGCGGAGAACGCCGTCCCGAAGCCCGTATCTGTCCACGACGCTCTGACAGTGGTCCGAGAACAGCGACTGGGGCGGAGTGAAGTAGTCCTTTCTCTCCCGCTCGTTGATCTCGACAATGGAGTGGCGTCTGCTCAAGCGAGGAGTGCACCCACCCACAACCGTCAGTCCCGCGTCCGGTTGCATATGTCCTGCTTTTACTTATCCTCTGGTACTTACCTCGGGTTTCTCGAGGCCCTCGCCTTTCGCAAGTGCTTGCTGATCTCCTTGCCGACGCACCCGCGAAGCTCGAGAAGCTCGTCCTGCTGGCCGCGCTCGTACGCCCTCGCCAGCAGCGCGTCCCGGTCCGCCGGGTCGATGTGGAAGAACATGGGGCTGCGCAGGTGCGAGATCTGAAAGGCGCCAAACAGCCCATTCCAGCGTCCGAGCCAATTGTCGCTAGTGGCGTCGAGGACCAGCATCTTGTAGCCCGGCTGCCGCTGCTGCTGCGACTTGGCCGTTGCGCACTTCTCGCAATCGCCGCCGCCGCCTCGCTTGGGGATCACACTGCCGCTCTTTCGCCGCTTGAGGGACATGCGGCTGCCGTGCTTGCGGATCCAGTGGTACCGCTGGTGCTCCTCGTCGGTGAAGAGGGCCGAGGGCGAGGGTTCGCACAGCCGCGAGGCCATGGCCAGCCCGCCCGGCCCTGCGCCGATGATGAGCACGTCGAAGACGGTCTGGATGGGCTCGTCTGGCGCTGGCATCTTGGCTATTGTATTGGTTCTAGATGTCAAATAGAGAAATGCCTTTGACAGTTCTACGGGTCAACCTGGAAATGATCACCTCGCGTTTTTTTCTTCCTCCTCCGCCATTTCTATGCCTTTGGTACCTTGATGGCCATACGCATTTCAAGTGCCTTTGGGTTGAGGACCTGGATGGCAAATCCCGGGTCGAGAACCTTGATGGCTAGGCGCTGGCGCACCTTGTTGGCCTCGGGGCTGGATCTCAACTGCGCCCCAGAAAACCCCTGTACGCGGTCTTCGAAGACGTGGAACGATGATCAAGTGATACCTTCCAACCTCGCAGCGGCTGGCTCTCCATCACCGGCGTCGCGCCTTCGCGCTTTTAAGCTTTCATCGTTACCCAGTCTTCGACTCCGTCCTGGCGCGCTCCGCCCCTGCTCTCCTTTTCGGTTTGGGCCCGCCGAGGATGGAGTCTTTCAGATTCGACCGCTCAGCTTCCATGATCATTCTACCACCACGTCACCTCCCCCGTGCCGGCTGCTGCCAGCCGTCGTTGCTCATCTCGACATGCGACATCCATATGGGGCTGCCCAGTCGCGCCTACGCCCGGATCGAATCGGGCGGCGGGCTGTTGTGGTGGTAGTTGGTTTGGCGGAGGCATTTGACGAGTTTAGCGCCGGCTAGAGTGACGCAGTGGGCTTTGCATTTTTAAGGATGGGAGTGCGTGGAAGCATCGATACTATTACTGTTGTTAAAAGCGATAGAAAAAGGACAAGACTGGATGTTGCTTAGAAGAAAAAAAAGGGCGAAAAGGTAAGTCGCCTGCAGCACCAGGAATTGAACCTGGGAGCTTCTCGACTCGAAACTGTTTAGAACCAAATGCGCCACACTAGCAAAAAGCGAAATGCACTTATGGTAATCGGTAAACAGTCAGGTATATATCGTTCAGACGCCGGCGTATAATAAAAAAAAAAAACACCACAACTCCGCGAATCAACCCGACAAATCTCAGCCTCTTTTTTTCTTCTTTTCTGCTTTTTTCTTTTTTTTCTTTTTTTAATATAACGTGGGGAAAAGAACAGGAACGGAAACAGGAAATAATACTAAAAATGAAAACAGAATAAAACAAACGCAACAAGAAACAAGAAACTGAAAAATGAACCCCAAAATCTTTCCTCCTTTCATACAGGAATCTGCCAGTTTTTTTGTGATGTGTTGTTGTTTAGTTGCCGTATTTGCCAGGACAAACGTTGCCCATCCACTTCTGGGAGGCTGCAGTCGTGCCCTCGTAGTCGAAGGCGCATGCGTTGTTTGTGCACGGCAGGACCTGATCGCGCAGCCAGGTGCTGGTGCGGATCTCGTAGTTGCAGAAGTCACCCATCGTCGTCTCACCGACGTTGACGGTCAGGCCGAAGGTGCCTCCCCTGCCAGAGGTCTCGATCATGCACTTCTTGCAGCACTCTGGGAGCTTGTCCTCCTTGCTTGTGGAGTAGTCGAGGTAGTCCGTCAGCTTCTTGCCGTGGTCGACGCCACGCTGCTGGACGGCGGCCTGCTGGGTGACGGCAGCGGCAGAGCTCGTGGGAGAAGTAGATGTGGATGCAGAAGAGGAAGATGACAGTGCAGAATTGATGTTCTTGATAAAGTAAGGCCACGTCGTGACGACAGCAGCAGAGGTAGCGGCGGCAGTAGAAGGAGAAACAGATGTAGTAGTAGCGAGCTGCGTGGCAGTCTCGATGGTCGCCTCGACGGGAGCAGCCATGATCAGCTGGGCAGAAGCCACGACGACAGCGAGCAGGGTAGTGAACTGCATCTTGGCTGTGGTATGTTGGTAGTTGCTTGTGGTAGGAACGGCGACTCTGGTCTTGATAGCGACTCTGGTCTGGTGTATTGCTGCTGGGCTGTTGGTCTGCTAGTCTGTTGATCTGGTGGTCTGCTGGTCTGCAAAAGTAGTATGTATGAAGCCAGGATTCTAAAGAGTTCCTGGCTCCTGGCTGGAGAGACGGCCCCTTCTTGTACTCGAACGGGCGCTCTGGCAAAGCCTATCTGACTGTGGGCTCCTGTCCCACTCTTAAAAGGTTTTGCCATCGATAAAAGGATGTCTGTATAGTCCCAGCCATTCGGGAGGCAGTTGGGCATAAGCTTTAACAGGTCACGGAAGGTAAAGTGTATCGGTGACTGTAGGAGAAAGAGCATGGATAATTATAGATACGGCTTCAGCTCATGGCACAGTTGGAGCCACAGGAATCTGAAAGTAACGGAGAAAGTGACGCACTGGCACGGGGGAGACGAGGCTGGCGAATATGAGTGAAGACCAAGCACAAGAGTAGTGAAGAGTAAATAGAACGAAGAAGGAACGTCCTGCTAAACATTCCGTAAACGTAATGACGGTGCTGATATCTCCATGCTTTTCTGTCTTTGGACGTGCTGAGCAGCCCGGGCGGCGTCTGGTTGCGCCTTGGTGACACAGAATTTCGTGTAAATCCACGATGGCGGATTAGCTCGCACGCTGTCAACGGTCCACAACGTGCTGCCCGGGTGGCTGGCTCCCTGCGTCCCACCATGGAGGCTGGTGAACCGACCAACTCCACTGCACCCGCCCCCCGTTAACCTTAACCTTAATCTCACGTCTTCAACCTGTCTAGTCAGGTGATCTTGGCCGATGACGATGGAGAGTGCCGGTTTTACTTTCCGGTGGACCAATCTCCGGTCGCCACCGCCGCCAGCACCCTTAACTCCGCCGTCGGCACAAGGCTGTGGAGTTACGGGCTCGGTGCTTTCGTCCACTCGACAAGCTTCCGCGACGCCTTCGACCACGACGACAACGCCAATGCCATCATCGCCGACGTTAGTTTTACCCAAAGACAATTTATCCCGCCAAACTGGACGAATCTCTCCCCTTCTCGCTGGCGTCATTTCGCGCGACGCCCAAAAGCACACGAGCCCATACATGTCGTCGATTTTGGCACTTATGACTAACAAGCAGATCACAGACCAGTAGGGCTGCTTTTGGAAGACCATGGCTGAGACAGGCCGGCCGCCTTCGGCCCCAATACCGGCCTCTGCCACAGCTAGGGGACTTCACGCCACAGACAATCGGCCTCGATCCGCCAAGGAGAAGTCTCATACCATCCGTGGCCACATTGCCGTCAGCTGGAAGCTCTGCGACGAGCTCCATACATTTTCTCGTCCCTTTCCCGATCCTTCTGCTTGGCGGTCTCCCAGGATCAGAGAACAAGGATGCCACCATTACCGGAGATACGCGAGTTAGCAGGGGTAATAAGAGGGCGCCCGAGAAATTCTTTTGGCCGCCATGCTCGTCGCCGATTCAGTAGTATGCCGACGATGGCTTCCGTGATTGTGAAGGATGCGAGGTGATCATGCATCCATCACTGTTGGCAGTGACGAGACCTCGTGTTGGCTTTGGAAATCGCGATCGTGCGAACCCGCACAGCCGAGTGCATCTTGTGCGCCTTCAGAGACGCCACCCTGTCCTTTCCGTTCATCTCGATCGACGCGGTTTACAAAGGCAGCTGCGCCCTTGCCCTGAAATGGCTCATAGTTTGACCAGAGATCGTGATCGAAGGGGCTGTCCGCTGCGCTTTAGTGGCAAGTCCATTCGTTGGTGCTTCCATGTCTGTATGTCCCGTCATTCACCCCAACCCGTAAATTTCCCGCCTTCAAACTATTTGGCCCCTGCAGGAAGTATTTTCAAAACGTGGAAGGCCCCGGGAAGCAGCCTCTCAATTATTTATGAAAGGGGTATTGGTAGAACTGGCTCGCGAGCTCATCAACGTCATAATCGTAGCCCGATTGCGGCATAAATCACCAACCCCCTAAACTAGGGGTAGACCCCAGTGGGCTGCGTATGATTCAACAAGGTCCCATCCAGAGTGCGCGGCCTGCAAGTCGACAAGGGTTCGACATCAGTTCCTGTTCCTGAGGAAGCCCCTTGGTGCGCTCGCAGCAAACACTGCTAGGTACGTACCTATTGTTGACGTCAATTAGGGGCTGGGATCGATTCCGGCGCCGGGAACAAGGTAATTAGACGGGCTTTGTCCTGAGCTTTGCAAAGCCAACGCGGAGCACAAAAAAGATGGCAGTCCCACCGAGGGAGATACGCCACGCCCATTAGAAAGAAGCACTAGAGCACGGGACGAACGGAAATCGTGACTTACGGAATCGGCATATACAAGGCGACCCCCGCGCCTGAGCGCTTTTTTGACGTTGGATGAGTGCGCTGGATCGGCAGCGGGGCGGGTAGGTATTGCTGAGGGCCGCTGAGAGATCGCTGGGGCGACATGTGAGATGGGGAGGTTGTTGGATACCTACCTACCTAGCCAAGCGGATACGCTTGTCCGCACCAGTGCCCTGTCCTTCCTGACTGGCAGAGGCCACCCAAGGGAATGTACGATGCAGCCTCGACACATATTGAAAATGACACGGGGCTCTTCTCAGGCTCTAGGGGTCCAGTGTGTATGTTGAGTACTCCATACCACCCTCGCACCTTCCCAACTCCCATGGCCATCCAACATCCGATCGATGACGGCACCAACACGCACCCATCCCCCAGAGCGCTCTTTCCTTTCAGGAGGGAAGACGCGTTTTCTGCCAGCACCTTCCTTCAACACACACTCGTTGCACTGCCCCGCTGGTTGCCAGTGGGCCTCCGGGCTGCTGGGCTCGCTGTATTTAAAGCCTCCCCTCGGGCTTCTTGTTTTGTTTTCTTTCCTCTCCTTTCTCCCTCCAACTACGATAGCTTCTATCGATCAGTGCACCGCTGTGTCAAATAACAGAATAAAGTAAGTCAAAATCTCTTTCGGTATTGCTAATATTACCCTGCCAGTTGTTCGTCTTTCCACGGTTCGACACCCCGGATCATCAACGCGAGCGACACGGCGACGGATCTCGACAACTGCGACGTCAGCGGACGCGGTGTCTTTTGGCATCGAAGAAGATGGCGCCTCTTTTGGAGGGGTGCGGCGTTCTGGCGACCGCGTGGGAGATCGCGATGTGGCTGTGGGCGATGTCACCTGGCGTCCTCCTCGCCCCAGGCTACTTGACCTACCTGGCGGCGACTGCTTGGACCATCGGATATAGGTTCGCCTGTGAGTTGACCATGTGGCACCGCATTCCCGTCCCATCCCTTTCCATCGTCCTCCATCCTATTGCTGCTCCTGTTGTTCTTCCTGTTCCTGTTGTTCTTCCTGTTCCTGTTGTTCTTCCTGTTCCTGTTGTTCTTCCTGTTCCTGTTGTTCTTCCTGCTCCTTTCCTTCATCCTCGTCTATGTACCTACCAATACCCTATCCTACTTTACTATGCTAACGTCCTACTTCTTCTACTTTCCAGGGTTGACGATGGTCTATCCTCCAGAGCGTCGCGCGTTCTTCGGGCTGCGTGACAACGAGAAGAAGAAGTGGGCCGGGATCGCGATTCTGGTAATGCTGGGGTGCTTGCACCTTTACACGCTTGGAACCTGGACAGCTGCCATCGTACGCGGCAACCTGCCTGACCGTGGACGGCGTAGGCTCGACAGAGCCCATCGCAACAAACGAATCATGCAGTCCTCCCGCCGTTGGAAGGAGGAAGCCGGTACGAGGGTAGGGCTCTGGGCCCTTGCCTACCTTGACGAAAGCCTAGGCGGCCGGGATCGACCTCGATTCTGCGACCGCGGCAATTGCCCGACCCCCGAGCTTCGGCTTGGAGATCGGATGTACTGCGCCAAGACAGCATTCTGGATGCGCGGACACCTTCCCCTCTACGATCACTTCTGCCACGTAAGTTACCACATTCTTGTCCCTTCCTACTTTCTATCTTCCCCTTCCCTCTCTTCTTCCTAGTCATCTTCCCATGAACTGGTCAATCTTTGTTCGCGCCACCTCCCTCCCCATCAAGCGATCATACCCATTCTGGCCACCTATTCACATCCAACATCGCAACGCTGACTCGAACGTGGCACAGTGGACCTTCATCCCGATTTGGCTGGACAGCATCAAGCCTTACTTGTTGCTGCTCGCCAGCATGGTTATTGACGCCGCCTTCTGCCTCTGCTGCTGCATCATTTCTTTCGCCCTCCAAGAATCCAGAGACGCTATACCGCTCGGGGTATGCGCTCTGGCTTCTGGCTTTTTGGTCGTGTACCATGGGTGGTACAACGTCTGCATGCAGTGGAAGTATCTCGGAGTCAACAACAGCGTCCATATGGAGCACTCGAAGTATCGACACAAGCACCACTTTGCGCTGGTGAAGTCGGCCCCTTGGGGAAAGGAACTTCGGTACTTCATCTACGACGGCAACCCATGGGATCTCGGTTCTAGAACGGCCAACCTACGAGCGGCTTTGGGAGCCAGCATCTGGGAATGGCCTCTGTTCTGGCGACAACCCGAGCGAGTCGAAAAGTACGGACGATACGGTAGCGAAAGCGACCTGCCAATGTCTGAGCGCTTTCTCGCCATGGTACGGCGCTTGCGAGAAGAGGAGCCAACTGCGAGCATCCCTCCGGTGGAGGAACCACGACGCGGGCGCTCTTCGGAGCACACGTCTAGTGGCGACATCGCGGGGACGTTCGAACTGCAACGAGTCCAGCACACTCGGGCCGACATTCACCCTGCCTTCCGCCGTCGTCAGGCGACGGATCGCAGCAGCGCCGACATTGCAGACATGGTCTAGACGTTGAGTCGAAGCCATCACCTCCGCATTCTTCTTGACGACAAGCATACCACCGTGCCAGGACACGATGAGTGATCGATCTTCTTCTGCAACAATCTGCTCCGGCCCCGTTCCTCTTCTATATCAAGTATTCTGTATTCCGCTAATATATATATCTACAGGCGACCTTGGATATGTCGTTAAAAGGCCCGCCTTTACAACTGAACTGTGTAGGTGACTTGAGGGTGATGGGAAGGAAAGTACCGGATCCCGACAGGCGTTGGCACCACCCGCGGGCCCTCGCTGCTTGTTGCCCCGACACAGCAAAGGCAACTGTCACCGCCACCCGAAGGAAAACGGTAGGAACCCCCTGTCGACTGTTGCTTGGTTTACGCGCCGGGCAGGCTGGGCGGAGACGAACCGCCATACCAAACTTCTCCCGACTGGACATGCTTCCATCGCCGGGGAGGCACGCGCGGAGATGATACCGCCATACCAAACTTCTCTCGACTGTGTCACGTTTCGCGCCGGGGAGATCACACCAGCGACGAGTTCACACTTCTACGCAGTGTTGGTGACCTAAAGCTAAGATGAACTCCCTCTCCACCCCCTTGTTCGGCCAGTGCCGTCGTCTGTTTCCCTGCTGCTACACTGATCCAAAGAGGGCTCCCAGCCCGGCATAGCACCCGAACGACGACCGACCGATCGACGACCCGGATACATCGGGAACCCCAGGCGAGGCGGCTCGCGAGCCGCGTAAGTCCCCTCCCTTTCCCTTCTTCCATCCCCGTCTGGACATACTGCTAACTTTGCGCACGACGTCTCTCGCCGGGTGCCGACGACGGCCATTTTCACGGCCGACCGACGGCCCGACAGCTTTCACGGCCGACGACCACCCGGATAGACCAGCAACCTCAGGCGAGGCGGCTCGCGAGCCGCGTACGTCCTTGCCCTTTTCCCTTCTTCCATTTGCGTTTGGGCATATTACTGACCTTGTGAACAACTTCATTTGCCGCGCGACGACGACGACCATCTTTTTGTGTGGATATGGCGCTGGTGCAGGAGACTTGTTTGCGGAATTGGGCATGTGGGATACCAGCGGATCAGAGGAAATGAGAGTCGATAAGCAGTAGATAGGCAGTGGATAGGCAGACCAGAGGGACATGAGAGATCGAGGAGTCGAGGGGAATTCGAACATGGGAGTCGAGAGGCACCGGGGCCACGGGATCAGAGACCAATCAGTACAAGGGAGAAAGGCGGGGATGGATATCAAGCCATGAGGAGTACAAGCACGGGGAAGGAGGCGAGTCGGCACGTGATTTCGGGAAGGCATGAGGAGTACGGGAGACGGCGCATCGAGGACATGGGAGTCGAGGGGATTGGGTATATGTGAGGCGGAACGACTCGGGGGAGCGGAAGTCGAGAGGGGAGAGGGGGTCGAGATATGGCAGTCGAGAGGCATCAATTATGCGAGAGCCGAGACAGGCATGGATTTGGGGAGTTGAGAGGCATTGGGTATGTGGGATCCTAGGGGAGAAGGCGAGCCAAAGAGGCTGAGGCCGAGGGAAGTTAAACACTGGATGTGAGGCGGAACGATTCGGGGGTGCAGAAGTCGAAAGGGACTGGAAATGGGGGAGTCGAGAGACACCAGGGCGCTACAGGCGAGGCGGGCACCGGCAACGCGACAGTACAGCAGAGGAGAGAGTGAGAGGAGAGAGTGAGAGCGCCACGGGTTTTTACGGTCGAGGTACCCCGACAGTTGATCACATTATCGGGTGGCCACACAGACAGAGCAGACTACCCAACCATCAGCCTCTCATCTGGCGAACGTTCAAATTGATCCTCTTTGTCTTCATCCACCCACGCCATGCTTGGAATCTTGCACCCTCGCCATCGTCCGCAGCCCCGGCTGGCCAGTCTTCCAGATGCGGTGGACAGGTACCCTTTAGCACCTTGGGCACGCCGTGCCAGGCATATCTAGACTCCTTGGTCATGTATATGGCGTCGCCGGATCTGAGCCTGAGCAGGAGGTACTCCTTGGAGCCGGCGTCCCGGGGCGCCGCCTCGGGGTCCCCACCGAGGTCGCTCGGGGCGATCATGAAGAGGCCGTCGCAGCCGAGGCTGATGCTGACGAGGCCCTTGTCGGTCTCCTCGGACACGTCGCGGTGCATCATCATGGTGTCCCCGGGCGAGTAGAAGTTGACGATGGCGGCCTGGGCGAGCGTGTCCGGAAACACGGTCTCGAGGAAGGCGGCGACGTCGCGGGGGAAGGCGGGCGGGCTGGTGCCGCCGTCTGGGTAAACGCGGTTCGTCCAGTCGTACTGCCCGCCCAGCGTCACCCAGTGCAGGCGCCGGTCCAGCACGCGCCGCACCGTCAGGGGCTTGTGCACGGCTGGGTCCTTGGGCTGGAACAAGGGGGTGGCTAGAGAGTCGGGGTCGTAGGTGAAGAAGGAGGCGCTTGCTTCGTCATCGTCTGCTTCTTGTTGCTGTCCCTCAGCTAGCCTGCTTTGTGACGGCGGGTACGGCACGTCGTAGTGCAGGTGCAGGTTGTTCTGGTGCTTGGGGGCGCTGAGGTCGCGGTGGACGAGCTTGTCGAGCAAGGTCCTCTGCAGCTGCGGCGGCACGACGGACGGGAAGATCAGGAGACCCGGCAGCAGCGGGTGGTGGTAGACGGGGCTGTCGTCGGCCACAGGCTCCGCGGCTGGGTCGAGGTGTCTGAAGCCCTCGGTCAGGGTCTGGGCGGGAAGCGTGGCGCACAGGACAAAGTCGGCGGCCTTTTGGGGCTCGGCCAGGTCGTCTACATCACCCCTGGCGACGATGTCTGCGGGCTCGGCGCGGGCGTACGACTTCCATATCGCGCGCATGCGGTCCGAGGGCTGCTCGTGGGCGTCTAGTTCGGTGAGGTTGATGGTCATGGTGACTAGTGGGAGCGGCTCGGCTCAGCAGCCACAGCACTTCTCTTGCAGGCTGGTTAGACCTTGGAGGCTCACTAGAGGCCATCATCACAGGTCTCAGGTCAGCACCCAGAACCCCCACCAAGGCGCAAATCATGGGGCGCATTGGGCAACAGCTGCCTCTACCCACCCTCGTAAAGACTCCGTCTGTTCGAATTCTATTTCTTGTATAGCGGTCTTTCAAGCAACACCGTTGCCGTGACATATGCATGGGACCTGATCCAGCAACAGAGTCACCAGAGAGACCTCCCTAGACCGACTGGGAACCGAAGGAGGGGCGGATGCGATAAGGTCACGATAGCAAATAGTGGGCCCCATCCGTCCCCGCCTGCTGCTGTGGGAATGAGCCAAAGAAAGGCAAGCCAATCAGAAGCAACAACGACGACCTCAGCATGCTCAGCTCAGAGCTGAAGGACCAAGCAATCCCTGCTGCCGTCTGTTTACCACAACACTACCAGCCCACATTGCACCAAAACAACCTAGCTCGTGCTGGCTTCGAGCCCGCCAACCGCCAAGCCATCAAGCATCACCCAGGCCGCCTCGATCCGATCTTGCGGCACCAGTCGCCGTGCTTTGTTTTTTTTTACTTGTCCTTCATTTGCGCCTGTTTACGCCCCAATGCCAGAGTCCGTCGTCATGGTCGACCACGACATGAACTTCCGTTCGTAATCTCCAGCGTCCTGTGCCGCGCTGCCCGCGACTTTTGTTTTTGCACTCGCCTCTCTTTTTCTGCGGGCAGCTCCTCGCGCACGCTCATTTGTCCCCGACCCTTGTTTTTTGCCCACTCGGGAATTGGCGTCGCGTCGCTCGATTGACCCAATCCTCCCCCGCGTCGCGCTTCTGGTTGCCCCTCGTTGCGGCTCGAGGCTCCACGACACCCAAATTCCACTCCTCCCTGTCCTCTATACCGCTCAACACCAGACCGCAGCGACCATCCCTCCTAAAAACCGATCTCGAAAACGCCGAAACCCATTTGACCCGACGCCGATCCACTTGCCCACCGTCCCCGATTCTTTGCCCTCCAAAACCGTGCCGTCCAACAGGTCCAGAGCCCTTCACTTCACCCTGCGTGTTCCCCTATGGCTTTGATGCTTGCTCTCGCCCGGCGCTTTGCTGGCTTTCCTTTTTTTCTTGGCTCTCTTTTCTTTTTGTTTTTCTGTCGTCCTGTCGTGGAAGCATTTTGCGAACGCACTCGCTGACCCCTGTCTTGATCTACAGGCGATCTCCGCGATCCTAGAAGCTTTTTCGATACTAGGGACAGCATCGAAACCGACGACGAGACCCTCGAGGAATACAGGCCAGGCGCACGTCTCTACCAGCCACCCCGCCACTTGCAACTCGGCAAACCAAACGTGATGGAGAACTACCAGAAGTTGGAGAAGATCGGAGAAGGTGGGCTACTTTCCCGCTTAGCTCCTGTCTTTCCCCGAAAGGCGAAGTGCAGATTTGTGGTCGGCCCTGGCTTGTTCTGGGGCTGGATCCTGCTCGCTGCTTAGTGCCGTTTCCTTGCCACATGGTGTGCTGACGACCCGCGCTCGGCGCATGCAATTTGCAGGCACGTATGGTGTCGTCTACAAGGCCCGCGACCTGTTAAATCAGGGTCGTATAGTGGCCCTGAAGAAAATTCGACTCGAGGCTGAGGACGAGGGAGTGCCATCGACGGCCATCAGGGAGATCAGCCTGCTCAAAGAAATGCGGGACCCCAACGTCGTCAAGCTACTCAACATCGTCCACGCCGACGGGGCTAAACTCTATCTCGTTATGGAGTTCCTCGACCTCGACCTCAAGAAGTACATGGAGGCTCTGCCCGTGTCGGACGGCGGTCGTGGCAAGGCTCTGCCCGAGGGCAGCAGCTCTCAGCTGAGCCGCCTGGGCCTGGGTGAGAACATCATCAAGAAGTTTATGAGCCAACTTTGCGAGGGTACCCGCTACTGCCATTCGCACCGCATCCTGCACCGCGACCTCAAGCCGCAGAACCTGCTCATCGACCGTGATGGCAATCTCAAGCTCGCCGATTTTGGTCTCGCCCGCGCGTTTGGCGTGCCCCTGCGCACTTACACACACGAGGTCGTGACGCTGTGGTACCGTGCCCCGGAGATTTTGATCGGCGGCCGCCAGTACTCGACGGGCGTCGACATGTGGTCTGTCGGCTGCATTTTTGCCGAGATGTGCACGCGCAAGCCCCTGTTCCCTGGTGATTCCGAGATTGACGAGATCTTCAAGATCTTCAGGTGAGACCACGTCTTGGCCGAGTTCTCCCCTGCCCTTTCCCGACGACAGAACTGACAAGGGCGATGGGCCTGCACCGCAGACTCCTGGGAACACCGACCGAGGAGACGTGGCCCAGTGTCACGGACGAGAACATCTACCCTGACTTCAAGCCGTCGTTCCCCAAATGGCAACGCGACCCGAACCAGAAGCTGTGCTCGAACCTGAACGAAACCGGACTAGACCTACTCGAGATGATGCTTGCCTACGACCCGGCCGGCCGCATCTCGGCCAAGCAGGCCTGCAACCACCCATACTTTGAGGACTACGATCCTCCGCAGCGCTCGGGCCACGCCTCCAACGGCTACCGTCATTAGTCTTGATACCCCGTCTTTGATCAGTTGCCGCCCGCGTCGCGCCACCGACGAACCCCTCTCCCCGATATCGCTAGACACTGGTCCAGGAATCTAGCACGACGCCGACCGTAGTAGCTGTAGCGAAGGCCACGAGATCTCACCTCGACCGCGTCCTGTGATTTACTCGCAGATGTATCTGAGGAGCACGACTTAAAAGGACATGCTTACAGTCTTGTTTTGTGTCTGCTTTTCCAGGATAGTTGGCTGCGCGGTTTCCCTGCCATTACTGTTTCCTTACCTGGGTGGGATAACGCGCTCTGATGCATCAATGATTCCCCCCTCGCCGATTACATTGCATTAAAACTTGTCTGTTTTTTATCATCTTTGTTGTTCAATGCCAACCACTTCTCGGGGCGTTCCTATTCCATGGCTGTCGCCCTCGCGTGAATGCGCGCTTCGAGCTGTGACCCAAATCTTGCTTGGCGGCTCTGCAATGGGATGACGAACTTTGACTGAGGATACCATCCTTGGTGTGCTTCGAGCTTATCAACCCAGATTCTCGGCTGTCTATACCAGGGTTGAGGTCGGCTTGGGCCGAGGGAGTAACGAAGTATTATCCTATTCCAGTCCCGGATCGGAGGTTGATTAGACGTGGGGTCGAGGCGGCCATGCGACGGCACCATATGCCCAAGCAGCCAATCTCCTGTGGGCGGTGCTTGGGCAAGGCAAGGCGCTCTTGCATACGTCTCGACATGCCCATTTTCTTGTAGCCGGCATCCAGAGCTCGCTCATAAGGTCCTTTGGCACACGACCGTACTCCTCTTCTCCCCCTCGCCTTTATCACATTTGTCACGAATCAAAATGTACGCAGCACTTATGTACTCGACTAGACGGAAGGCGCAGGACGGGGAGGCTCTGGAAAACCTTTGGGGGGGTGGACTGAACTCGGGCTTTGCAATTATCCTGTTTGGCGACGATGAATCTGCCCACCGCCTTGACCTGGTTGATGTTTCTTGTGAGTTTGCTCCGCCATGTGCTTCTTGGAACCTGGCAATGCCTTTTGCGCTGCGTCCGCCTAGCGTACATGGGGTTCTTGGTAACTTCACCAAAGGTTCCCGTGCTTTCTTGCGCCTGTGCGAGGCGCGATGACGTGTCTGGCCCCCTACGGCATGTCAATACGCAACGCGGGTTCATAGCGTGCCGTTCACTGCGTATTCTTTTACAGTCGACTTTCCTCGGTCGATTCTTTGAGGGGCAAAATGCGCGACCGCAGGACTGGCTATACGACATGGTTCAAATAGCGCGGGAGAAACCATACTTTATTAGATACATTCAATGTTATTGGGGATCAAACTGCGCTGTTTGAGGGCGACTCTTTTCCAGAAAGGTGTAAACCCCTTCAGGGGCTTGAGTTCAGCATCACGGAACTGCTCCCGCATCCCCGACGAGCCCGTCGGCGCCGGTTCCTGTATCAACTTGATTATCGCTGTGCATACACCATCCCCCATTTACAAGCACGCCGGCCTCCAGCCGCCGAATTTCCTCATCCCAAGTTACACGACGGCAGGTGGAAAAGAAAGACGTCAGACTGCTTTGCCGAAATTACACACGCCGCAGCCGAGAGCGGCGGCCGCCGCCGGGGGGGCGGGAGGATCAAGGACACGGGAACGGGAGCGGGGATGCAGAATTGGTGGCGGCAACAGAAAACGAGAGGGGGTGGCCAGTATATAAGACCGTCTACATTCTAGCAGCAGGCTGGCGGGCATGTATTTGGGCTGGGAGGGGGTGGGGGTAGGGAGAGGGGAAGCGATTCGCCGACAACGGGACGACATGGTCTTAAACGCCCTACGCCCTGACATCGGGGGTAGGGGTTGGTGGGCACATTTGCGGCTGCTGTGCCATGGGCTGGAATGTTTAGGGGTGTTGTGGAGGGCGTGGCTGGCACAAAAGAGAGAGACACACGCACGGGTGCGCGTCCAACATGGAATGAGGAGCTGACTATTGCTTGACGGGACATTACTACCGGCCACTGTTGATGATGGGGGCGGCGGGGCGAACAAGGGCATGAAGGCGGTGGGCGGGCGGGCTGGTGGTGAAACCCGGCCGCCCCCAAAGACGGCACCCGTATGTGTCTCGGCGTGTTCGGTCAAGTTTGGGTTGGGTGCGAAAGGGACGGTTGCATCCGAGCACATCCGCGCCTCGGGCGGTCGCCGGCTGTGGTGGTGGTGTCCTGGGTAGGCCATCAAAGCCAATGATTGGAATGCATGCAGCAAAGCGCTATAGCCCGCTTGAGGCTCATCCCGTCGTCCTACCCCAAAAAATTTTTTTTTTTTTTTTTCTCGCTGCGTGCCCGGAAGCGGAGCGGAGCTAAGCCATGGACGAAAACACGGCCACGCAGAAATACCCAACCTACCCTACTGTACTTAGTATCTGCATCTTTTGGAGGCTGAAGAAGCGAGTGGGCCAATGCACATGCAAGACGAGGCAGAGCCGACGTGTGAGGATTGATTGGCCCTGTGAGGGCTTCCCTTTGTGGGCTCCAGTCCCAGGGCCAGACCATGACAGCCTTGGCCCCCACCGGCGAGGCCTGGGTCCGGGGACTGGTGAGACGCTGACGGGTCTCCTGGGAGAGGGCGTGCGAGTTTTGGAAATGGGGTTGGTCTTCTCAATTGCGCTCAGACCTTTTGAGGCTCTGCGATTTGCTGTCCACGCCGAGCGGATAACACGTTAGTTCGGCTGTTTGATTTTCTCTGTGACGAAAATGTCCGCGGTGTGCCCTGAAAACGATTTGCCGTTCGCTGGACTGGCGGCGATCATCGCTTGCGTTCCATCTCGCTGTGTCGCGTGCCATTGAAGCTTCTCGATTTAGCGGCGGGTTAGGTGTACAGTGCTACAATGCTACAGTACCGACTCGTGCGCCTTCTGCTACTGCCAGCCCATCGTGGCGTCTAAGCCAACCTATCATGGGTCGCTGGGCGGGCCGGGGGTTTACTATGCACTGAGACGCCCGCCGTGGGTTACATGCCGCGGCCCGTGGGCTATTTTCGGGGGCGGGAGGAGGCTTGTCATTGATCCATTGGTCGGTACGGTACAGTATATGGCTTGTTCATTTCGTTTCCTTGTGCCTTTGTGCTTGTGCGCGCCTGCGGAAATGTGCAATTGCCGTGTCGGCGTCAATGGGAGATTGGACAGGCCTGCAAATACGAGATGGGGGAGGGCAGAGGAGTCGTCACGGGCCGCCGTAGGCGTTGCCTTTCGAGCTGAGCTCCGCCTGCCGGTCGGCTGCCTCCTCTTCAAAGGGCGGTCGGCAGGAGATTTAATAGCGAGATTGGCCGCTGCCAAGCCACAACTGGCCAGCTGTGTCCGCGCAAGAGGCTGTGGCTAATGCATCGTATCTGCTGGCGTCAGGATCGACGCTTGCGGGTTAGGGTATTGTAAGCCTCGTCCCGACGGATCCCCAATTGCGTCACCTGTCTGCTCCATCTTCCAGCCTAGTAAGACACGATGGCCGGCCTCGGGATCTTGCCAGCAGGCGGTTGCATATGCACACTAACACGGCGACACAGCTACGTGATCCCCTTTCTACCCAACGCAGCCGTTCTGACTCATCTCCCGACTTGTTGGTTTCTTGTTCTAGGCCCCCTCCTTTTCTGCCACCATCGGGAGGGGCAAGGAGCAGGGATCGCTGGCAGCCCGCGGGGCCAACCACCATATTCGATACGGGCGGTAAAGGGGGGCCGCCGGGCAGTCATGCAGGCGCCGCAACTGCGTGGGAGCCGGGTCACGGTCGCTCTTCCGTCTCATCGAGGAAAGGCTGCAACGTGGGCGCATGGCGGCGACAAAGAAAAAACACGCAAACAAGGACAGCATGCCCCTTACTCTTCCCCTCTCTCTTACTAGCCCAACGGGCGGGGTTTCGGGCCCGGAGGACGGATTACTAGACAAACACCCACCGGAGGAGCCACGGCGGGGAATTGACGGTGACGATGACGATGGCGGAATGAAGTGTGGTGGTTAATCCCCGCTCCATCCCAGACTCCCTCGAATACCTCCCATATCTATCATTCATGGTCAAAAACAATAAATAAAAAAATCCCGAGGGATGCACCACAGCACATGCCAGTCGGTGGGTGACGCCGACCGCACCACCGCACGACCGGAGCCCCCGTGAGCACAGGCCGTCATCCTGACCGTTACGCCGTCGAGATCGAGGGCTGTGGCCCTGCCTGTCTCTGCCGCAAAACCTGCCGCAGTCACACCTGGTACCTACACCACCAAGTGATACGAACTATAAAGCCTGCCCCGCCGGTTGCCTGCATGCTCTTATCGCAACCGTGGTAGAACCGTGTGGCTGTTAGCTCTCGCCGCGTGGCATTGCGGCATCCACATCGGTTGCAAATTGTCTTGGATTGCGCCCCCTCGCCGTCGCCCGTGATCTGCAACCCCTCATCCCCCCCCCCCTCCCCTTTTTCTATCAAGCTGTTTGAGCCACCAGGCGTACTCACGGCGATGGCGGCCTCCCATTGGCTCGGGCGCGCCCCTCCTGCTTGTTTCATTGTTTCACCGCGCGGCTGGCCAATTAGAGGGCAGGGCGGCATGTCGATCTGGGGGCCTAGAATTCCAGAGGGAGGAAGGGGGAAAAAAGGTTGCCCGGCGCCACTTTTCCGTTCCGACCACCACAGCCACACAGCCACACGTCGTCCCCCCGCGGACAAGAAGCACAGGGGGTCGGGCATGGCCGGCAGAGCGGCTTTTTCGCATTGATTGGCTGTCGTCGACGCATTCCAAAGGGGGGGGCTTGCTGCCGCCGCGAGCGGGGCCGCGCGCCGGTTCCCGCGGCTGGTGCTGGTTCAATCGGCATCTGCCACGGAATAGGGGGTGAGGGTTTCGTTTGTTTTGCTTTCATAGTCGCGGCTTTGTTGGCCATCGTCTTGCGTGCAGGTCACCCAGCCCCCTTCTCTTCTTCGACCGACATTTGAGAGGCTCACAATGGCCCGTTGCTATTTGGCGGTGTGCAACAATTGCTTCCATCCACATGCTCTCTCTCCTCTCATGTTTTTTTTTCTGCCCCTGCCCGACACCCAGGTTCGGCCACGTCTTTGTGTGGCGAGTTTATCCCGCTCCCAAGACTTTTGCCCTGATGGCCGTTTTCCCAGATAGGGCGCAGCATAATAGGGTTGGCTTCTGAGGAAAGTTGACGTATGGTTGGGAATGGCAGTCGCGTCAAGGCATTATCCATGGTCTATTGGGGTGTGCGCAAACTGAGTCTTGATTCCATCTACAAGCTTATGCCCGCCACCCGTCCTCACCAAAGGTAAGCTCTCAAGGCTGATTGCTTAGCATTGGCCTGTCACTTGTTTTCCGGCACCGAGGTCATGCCTGGGCAGCAAATCTTCCACCGCCCAGCCCCCGTCTATGGAGATCTTTCCTAAAAACGACCAAGGTCACGTCTTGTTGTCCTCCCGCGGCCTATCATTCCAGGTTCCCTCCTCGCGGGGAGGGCGTGCGGCTTGCTGCCAATCCCTAGGTTTAAGGGGCAAAATAGTGGAGTCTAGCTCAAGGGTGGCACGGCCTGTGGGCCAGGCTGATAATCCCACACCCTCTTCCGCACCGGGGCCCAATCACGTCGCGGGCGAACGCTTGTTGATCCTGGCCCGCCCCTCATTGGTGAAACGTAGGCGGGGAGGCAAAAGGGAAAAAAATAAAATCCATGCGACGATCCGCGACTCTGGATTTGGAAAGAGGCTCCCAAGAAGGACGAAAATGCAGGCTCGGAAGAGCCCGTTCCTGGGCGCGGATCCCTTTACTCGTTGTGGCTTTGTGTCTACCATTCATGCCTCGGAACGCCCAAGCGTTCTTTACTCCGGATGCGTATCCGCCTGGCTGGGATGGTTCGTTCAAGCCGGGAGGGGGTCGGTTGTGTGGAATTTGGAGCCGAACGCGGACCGCGAAGCAGCAGCGTCGAGTTTCCCCTTGCATCGGACCTGCAGAAAGACTGCCCGTGGCGTTTGGAGCCATCAGCAAACGTCAAGCAGGTGCCGCGCGCTGCCTTAGCCCTCCCAGTCCAAAAAAAAAAACCTAAACAATTATACGTGGGGCCGCCTGCCAAACTAGCCACCGGACAAACTCCTCGAGCTCGAGTCTATTCCCGGCCTGTTTGTTTGCCCTTCAGTCTCAGGGAGCGACGAGCTATCCCAACTCTTAGCTCCCAGTGGCAAACAAGGGCAGCTTGCAGCTCCGCTGCCGCCGGCACGAGAGTAGACAGCCTTCTTCTGATAGACGCCCTCGCGCTATCGGACGGGTTGAGGTAGCCAGCTAATCCCTGGCATGGGGTTATCGATCCATAACGATGCCGCCAAGCGAGTCTATATCCGTCCTTCAAAGCAGGGGGGTAATGGGGATCGCATGCCATGCCCCCACATTTGCCCGTCGCGATCCCACCCTAGCTTTCCGAACTTACCAATGATCCCATCTTTTGCCCGTCAGCCTTCCCCGGCACCCAGGGTTTTTGGCAGGTTTATTTCGAGAAACGCATTGTCTGGGGGTGGCGATGCCTTCTTTTTCTTCTTTTCTCGACTTCTTTCCCACTGTCCGTTCCACTCTTGCCCGCGGCACGTCCTCTCGCCCCGGGAACTTGAAGCGAAGAGCCTCCTTCCTTGGCGCACGAGTCGACGGCATTGGCGACCGCGGACCAAAAAGTGTGAAAGTGGGAGTTTGTTACGACCAGGGCGCAACGTCCAGCCCTAACGCTTCCAGCCAGCCAGGGGGTAGCTTACCCTGTGGAGTTGAGTCGGCTCTCCTCCTGAATATGGCATTGAGCCCACCACAGGCCTGGCTGGTCCCAGTGCAAGGCTAGCGCATCTTTACACGTCTCCTCCCGACCCCCGGGGGCGCCTAGGCGCGGCGCATTATTGCCAAGTGCATCTCCATGTACCTAGAGCCATGTTGCCGTGCCGTGCGGGACAAGATTTCTAGCCGTGCTAGCTGGTGGTGGACGCTCGGACTCGGCCTGGCCGCGGGAGCTGAGGGCCAGAGCGACGCCGGGTCGATGAGCAAGCAAAAAGGCAGAGGGCACCAGCGGAGGGAGGCTCCTCAGCTCGGGCGTGACTAAACAGGAGCGGAATTTGGAAGCGAAGCGTTGATAAGCTAGCTGCTTTACATTCCGGGGACCGAAAACCGGCAGGCTAACGCAAGAGACCAGCCTTGCGAGACGTGCTCTTGGTCGTCAGGCTCGGAACAATAGACAGATGCGGGAAAGGGTTGGCGTCAGTCGACAAGTTTGGGGCGGCCAGGCACAGAACAAGCCTATGTTAGTTAGTCCCGATGACATGTCAAAAATGGGGTCGAATCGAGCCGCGGGCGATGAGGATAAGCAAAATCAGCAAGAGGAAAAAAAAAAGACGACATGTTGTAAACAATTAGAGCAACCGCCCACACAGCCATTATTGGCCGCTTCTGATGCGGCCATGGTCGTATTTTGCCCGTCGCTCAGCCATTGTCGAGATTACTGCACACCGCGCGCCATGCACGCACTGCGCGCCCATGTGGAGTCTCATGGCAAGTTAGAAGGGGGCGACCAGACCAGCACCACGAGACTAAGGAGCCACGACGGCCCAAACCCGCGCCGACACGTACTCGACCCAAGAGAATTGGCGTGGTGCCATGGCGAGGAAAGCAACAGCGCACACCGCAGCAGGGCGAGGGATATGCCCTGTGGGCCAACCAACCGATCCTGCCCAACCCAACCGTTTTTTGTCTTTCTCGTGACGATGTGCACGCAAGTGCCTTCGCTCGATAGGTGGCCGAAACCCCACACCTAAACGACTGGTTGTAGCGGCCGCCTTGGCTGTGCCTCGAATTGATGAGCCTCGTCGTCTCGATGCTGCAAGTCGCACCAAAAAAAAAAAAACCCCAGCACGGACACGCACACCATGCTCGACAGGCTCCAAGAAAGCCCAATGGCACTCTGGCGCCCAGTGGCAGCCGCATCTGCGAAATAGGTGTAGACGCAGGAGGGCGGTTCTGGACAGTCTGTTTCATGTTTCCACGTCTCTCGTCGAAGAAGCGCCAATTGGAGGCCCTGCATGCGTGTGTGTGGGTGTGGTTTTGATTATCGCTCGCCCTCCTGAGCCGTTCCACACAGGACCTTTGCCTCTCCCATTTTCATGGACCACAGACACACATACACGCGCATGCAGGAGCCAGTCAATCAATCGGCTGCCTTTCTTGACGACAGGACCCCTGTCGACTTCCGTTTTGCCCAACCCACCCCCACCAGTCCAAGAAGCAACCACAGCCAGTCGAGCGTCGGCGACACGAGATTTCCAGAAACCCAAGCGTCTGGCCCCTTGCTCCAATTCCCGACGCCCAAACTCCCACAAAAGCCCACACGCGCTGCGAGAACCCGCGCGTTTGAGTCCCGGCGAGGAGGGGCTGTGCACCACCGCACAACGTCTTGACGGGCGGCACAGGCCAGCGTCGGGCTGGCTGGTAGGCTGCCCGTTTGACGCTGCAAGGGTGAATTGGCCGGCGGCAGCGGCAACGAAGACGGCCGATCGGACCTGGATGGAGGTTGATTGGGGCTGCCACGAGATGACTGAACAGAAACAAGCGCGCAGGAGGACAAAAAAAGACGGGCGGACAGCAGGGCCGAGACAGAAGAATAAAGAATCGCGGCCTTCGCTCTATCGTGTCTGTGTTTGAGGAAATGAGTTTCGACACCATCTGCCGGACCTCCCTTTTTTTTTTTTTTTCCCTTCCCGACTTTGAGGATTAATCTATTTACACTTGGAGCAACCGGTTTTGCATCCATCCCTCGAGTCTCGGGATAGCATTGAAATCTGGACCGTTCGGCACGACTATCTCGCACGTCACCATACAACAGCGCATTATTGTTATTATTGAGTGGGCTGAGATTTTTGCCTTGTCTTTTGTTGTGCCATCGTTCGTTGACCGAAGCCGACGCACCTTGACGAGTCTCCCGTCCGCCCTTCTGCAACCTCGCATAATCGTCAATTGTTTATTTTGCATAGACCAGTCCGGGACTGTCGATTGCCTTACCTATTCTTTTAATTCGCAACCGATTTTAATCGGCCTCGTCCTGAGACGACCGACCCGCTCTCGACGCAGCTGTCCGAAAGCAACCACAACCAAAAAATCAGCACTGAACCACATCTTGGCGCCAACGTGTTCGTCCATCTTGCTGCTTGTGACCTGGAAACGGTCATCCGGCATCACGACAACCGTCATCGCCTCACTTGTTGAAAAAGGGACTCCTCGCCTCGTTGCACTCTTTCTAGGGTCTCTGCCGTGGCAGTTCGCACCAATTTTTGCTCCCAGCTCTCCTTTTTACTACAACTCGCCTGGCTGCAATCCCCAGTCCGCCCGCACGGCCCCTCTAAAAACAGCATACGGCTGCACATCCAGCATCCCGGACCGTCGCCTCCCGGTGCAGGCCCCCGTCGCCCGCCCCAAAAAAGCACACGGCTCTTCTGGGGGTTCGCAAATCAACTTGCCATCCTCGTCCTCAACTGCCGGCTGCTTTTCGCCGCCCGCTATTTTTGAGGTCGCCACAAGCATCCTCTAGGGTCGGACTCGGCGGCATTTCCCGGATCCGTCGTTGTGTCTTGGCCTGGCTGCCTTTTCTTACTCGGGCTCCTTTGGACTTCCTTCGCTGGTGTTCCAGGCTCTCCTTTGCGCCCAAACAGTTGGTACGTGCACTGTAAAGCCCGCCAAGCCCCAAGACAAGCGCTGTTGTCACCACTGTGCAAGTCACCAGCCGACCCACATAATTGTGGACCCGGCTGGGCTTGACCACTGATGCCGGGCTGCATTCGCTGACTCTGCTTCCCGTCTTAGTGGTCGCGCCAATTACTGGGACCTGCTGGCCTCAACTGCAGCTGCAGTAGCAACAGCAGCGCAAACAGCAAGCAGCAGCGGCCTCAATCTTACTACGCTCGTGGGCTTCTTGACCAAGACAAAAGCGCTCGACTCTGCTTCGTGGCAACCATCTCGTTTTGTACAATCATCACTACACCAAAACCATCACCTTCGCTGTTTCCTGTCGCTTGCCTTTTGAATATCACGTGGGAAGACATCGATCCGACAACCTCCATTGTTGCCCGACCCTAGCCAATCGCTCGCCCCGAACGACAGCCGCTCAGCCACACAAAGCGTCCAGCGCCCAAACCCAGTCCAGAACCCCCCGCTTGACCCACGCCGCGTCAACCCGAGACTTTTGATCGACTCGCGCTCGTTGCCACAAGGCCGCCGCGGAAGAAGCATCAGCTACGTCCCTCTAGCCTGCCTGCCCTGCCAGCTTCGCAAGTGTTGCGCCCAGAGATCCTGCCCGGGAGTTCCAGGCCGTGTTCTTTGTCATCCAAAAACGCCGGCCCAAGCCCCCCCCCAAAACACACACCTCTCTCGATCCCGCGATCCCCGCGATCCCGAGATTGATCCAGGCCCCTTGACTGATTTGACTTCTTGCCCTGGGCGAACGAAAACGCCCCTCGCCAAAAAAAGGAAAAAAAAAAAAGCCAGGTCCGCACTATTAACCACAAACCTATCCAGCGACAGCCTGTGCAACACCAGGCACCGTGAAGAGACCGGCCCGTCCATCTGCCGGCCTTTGACTTTTTGTCCTGTGAAATAAGACCCCGGCCCGCCAACGTCACGCCTTACATTCAGCCTCGTGGTCTCCGGCGTCAGCAAGTGACGAATCCCAGCTGCCTCTTTGATCCATTCCAAGCCTTTGGGTTGAGAGACAAGGCCCCATTTGAGTGCCAGCGCCACCCCACCTGCCACCCAACCCTGCCAGAGCATTTTGTCTCTTGCCCCCCTCCCATTCCAGAGCCCACGCCTCCCTTTCCCCAGTTTTCCGAACACGCCCATCCCGCCCCCTGCTCCCTGCAGCACCCCCCCTGCACACTCCCTGCCAGCCCGACCCCACGCCCCTCCTCGGCACGCCTCCCCCCCTTGACAGCCCACAATTGGACTTCGCCGCGCCGCTTGAATAGACGGGACAAAGCGCAAGCAAGCAAGGCCATTCTCCTCTGCACACAAAGGGCCTCGACTGGAAGAAACATAAAGGCGATAGATTCCTTTGACTTTCCCATCCAATCTCATTTCCAGCCTCATCCTCATCCGGACAGACATTCCCATTCATTCATCGCTTCTTGTTTATCATACAACAAGATCTTTGTCTGTCCACCTGGAGTACCTGCCTACCCCCGCAGATACTTATTCTCCCACCACCCAGACCTTCAGACATGTCTGCAGCAACAGCATCATACTACAACATGTCTTCCAGCGTCTACTCGTCCCAACTCAGCAACTACAGCATGGATCCGACTTTTACCCAGATGAGCCCGGTGGAGCTCGACGCCGCTGCTCTCGACACCTTTGTTTACAGCCCCGTGACCGAAGCCATGATCGAGCACCTGGCCAACAGGACGAACGAGGTCATCGCTTGTGACGCCCCGGCACCGTCCGGTAAGCGATCGTCCGAGCCCGCTGAGGTCGACGAGGGCCCGATCCCGACCCTCAAGGAGTTCATCACCCACCTCGTCGTCTGCTCCAACGTGCAGGTGCCCACGCTCATGTCCTCGCTCGTCTACCTGACCCGCCTCAAGGCGCGCCTGCAGCCCCACGCCACGGGTCGCAAAAGCACCCCTCACCGCATCTTCCTGGCCACCCTGATCCTGTCCGCCAAGTACCTCAACGACAGCTCGCCCAAGAACAAGCATTGGGCCCGCTACACCTACGTCCCTGTCCTGACCCCGACCGAGGCCGGCTCCGGCATCGTCGCCGACTTCAGCTTCCGGACCGCCGAGGTCAACGAGATGGAGCGCCAGCTCCTCTCGCTCCTGTGCTGGGACCTGAGGATCGAGGAGTCGGACCTGATACGCGAGTTCGAGCCCTTCCTGGCCCCCATCCGCAGGGACGCCGCCGACCGCTTCGCCCGCCGCCAGCGCCGCAAGTACGAGCAGGCCAAGGCTACCGCCGCCGCCGCCGCCGCCGAGCTGTCGTCGTCGCCGCCGAGCAGCATCTACTCGGCCTCGACCCGCTCGGGCCGCTCCGACAGCAACGCCTCGGACGTGTCGGCCGCCAGCAGCAACGCCTCGGCCCGCTCGCGCTCCATCTCGCCCTACCCGCCCAGCCTCACCTACTCGCAGAGCCCGTCCGACTCGCAGGGCGACTCGCCGCCCTCGCACAGCAGCCGCGCCACGACGCCCGAGGACCACCAGGCCCCCTCGTACGTCTACTGCGGCGCCGAGGAGGCCGTCGCCGACAGCCCCAGCTACCAGCAGAAGGCCGTCCCCGCCGCCGAGAAGCCGAGGCCTCACATCTTCAACCGCCTGGCCGCCGCCTTCCAGTCGCGGTAAAGGGGGTAGGCCTGAGCATGCACCCATCTTTCCTATGTCCTCGTCTTTTTCTTTTCCTTTGTTATCTGTAGCGTTTTGGGCTCAGCGAAGGCGTTGGAGGGGTCACAAAGAGTTTGGACTTTGACCGCCACACAAATTGGTTTTTTTTCTTTCTTTGCCTTATTTTCTGCACTTTTATTCGGCACACATCTTCTTCTTTCATTAACATATTATCTCCCCAGGTTAGCGTCTCTCTTTTTTTTTTTTCGGATTGGGTTGGTTTTTGGAACTGCGCATATATCGGTGGCAAGTGTTTTTTTTAGCATTTTTTTGGACAGTCTTTTTTTTTCTTTTCCTGGTGGGATATGTATCCAGGCTTGGATATGGAGTTTTTGCGTTTTTATTTTGGGCATCTGGCGTTCTCTTGTATTTCCCCTCTCACCTTTTGGCAACAAAATTCCGATTTCCTTTTGTTCTACATTATACCACTTTCCTTTGGTCTTTTAGGATAAAACGTGTCATTACGGGCGACGATAAAGAAAGAAACAGTTCTTATCTACATACCATTCATTGCTCCTCAACTTGATGCACAGTGATGTTCTCATTCTTCCATCACTGTGGCTTCGCTAGGTGAGCTGGGTGCTGCCTTGGGCAATTGAGGGGTTCGGCGGACTCGGGCGTCGCTGGCTCGCTGGTCCGATTCGGCCCTTGTTGACAATAGCGTATTGAGGAGGAAAAACTTTCAGTCTCGCACGCCCTCTGCCTCCCTGTCCGATATTGAGATTGGCTGCTGCGGGCGAGCATCTTAGTTGATGGATTGGAGGCTTTCCTGCAAGCAGCAAGGACCCCCCTGCCCACCCGCCCGACTAGACCGGACCGGGACCCAAGCCACCATCATGGCCCATGGGGCTGACTTGTCCGGCGTATTTTTGTTTGTATATGGTTGTGGGCTCAGCCCACCAACAACCAAAAAAAAAAAAAAAACACACACACGCATGGGATTGTCATCGTTACTGCAGCCCTTGGGATTCCGAATTCTTTCGGACGCGATAGGCTTGGGTGAGGATAGGGCGTGCGTGACCCCCGTCGCAATCAGACGATGCCGGCAGGGTGGAGCGTGGATTTGCTGGCTGGCTGGCTGGCTGGCTGTTCTCAGCTCAGCTCGGGCCCCATCATCTCCTGATGTTTGCTGCCCTCCCTTCCAATGCCTCGACGCCACCAACGGCGATTTGCTTTTTTCCTGTTCACATTGTTTATGGATCAATGCAATGTTACCTTTCGTTGCTTCTTTCGTCGTCGCCCCCCGCATGGCCTGGGCTGGTAATCAAAAGAAGTTGTCCGTTTGGCGCGTCCATGCGTTCGCTGCGAGATGGGCAAGCAAAAAAAAGCAGCCCCGGCTTCGAATTCGCGCGGTGCGTGCGGCGGCCACACCCTCCCTCCCTCCCCTTGCGTGTTGCATCTCCCACTTTCACGACTTGTTCCCGTCGTCGCACTGCCCACTTGTCGCCCCATAGCCCAACATTATCCGTTCCTTGGATGCACGTCCAAGTCTAGCTAGCCGCAATTTCATTACTCTCCTCTGCACCGGCGAGGGGTTGCAGTAAAAAGTCCCAGTCCAGTCAAGTCATTTTGGGGGTCTAATGCAAGGGACGAGCGGTGTGGGCGTAGGTGCATGTTCTCTGTGGCTGCTACGGGACCTTTCTATTTCCGCAGCGCAGGCTTACGGCAAAGCAGGAATATTTTTATGCACGGACGGTTGCAGCACAGTAAAAGGCTTGAGATGCAGGAACCGGGGGGGAAGGCGCGGGCAACTGTCAAATGAATTGATGCTGTTGCTGACTGCATCGACGTCGTATTTTTCGGCATTCGAGCGACACCCCCTCCTAGCCGCAGCAAGCAGCTGGGCATTCTGAATTTCAAATGTGATCACCACAGCAGCAGCCCGGATGAGGCAGACGACGTCGGCTAAGCTGAGTGGTGTCTCCAGCATCGTGAGTCACCGAGAAGGGAGGAGCATTGGCATTGGCGCCTGATTGAAAGCGCCACGGTGCACGTGCCACGCACGCCTGCGGATTGTGTGGGGTTGGTGGGTAGGTGGGTCGGCCGTCGCGATGCCGTCAACTTGATGCGCCAACACGACGAGACCGCGTGATGCGAATCTCAATAGAGTCCAAGGCACCGCGATCCCACGCCAAGCCGGCCTCGACTTACTCTCTCGGTGCTTTCCGCACTGCACCATCATCCCACGTTGCATCCCATCTGGTTTTTGGAATACCGACAACTACGGGCCTTCCCATTGGACGCAAAAAAAAACCCCTGGATCGATTCCCCAAGAGGTTCCGGGGGAGCATCAGCGGCGCCATCGTCTTGTTCGCCTTGTGGCTAGAGCCCAGCTAAACGGGCCCGACCTGGGTGCCGGCGAAACTCATCTTCTCTTTCCCCGCTGGCATCTGTGGCTTGATACTACCGAGCCCGGTCTCCCTTTAGGTTCACCATGTCGTCGCCAAGTGTGCGTCCCACACACCAACCGGGGCGAGCCTGCTCCTGGCCCGGCTCTGCAGGAGGTGCTAGGTGCTGCCGGAAGCCCCGAGAGCAAGGCGCGGCGCTACCCCATGCTCTGTCAAATGATAGTGGTGCCGTGCTTGTACACCCGAGTCTTTGACCATAGTGGTCCTTTTGCAGCGAGCTGGCCCCACGATGTCACCCGCCTGGCCTTTCTCGAGGGGGTGTCGAGGCTAAAGCCTCGCGGGGTTTCTCGGCTTCCTAGAGCGGCCCAGGCTCCCGCCATGGAGTGTGGCTAGTGGTCGCGAGGCGCTCTACCTTCTTGATTACATATCCAGATGCTCAACTAGCTAGACCGACGTCATTCTCTCGGGACCGGAGCTTGTCGTGATGGGCTCCTATGCTTGACGAAATGGTCGTCGGGAAGAGGGCAGGGTCGGGGAACCCCGCTATAAAACTCCAGCGCTGCTCACGATCCAGCGACTGTGACCGCCTGGACGTCAAGTTCGTCTATCCGGCGGTGCGGAACAGTCGCCCATATCCGACTCTTTACCACGGTCAACGATGGATAAGTATTGTCTCGTTGCCGGTCTTGGCTGGTGCAGATTTCGTGTCCCGGCATCCGCACCCTCCCCTTTCGTTACTGAGCAACAGGACTATCGTCTCGCAAAGGACAATCTGAAGCTACCGGCCCATCGTCAAGATGCATGCCCCAGTTGCCTCCAGTCGGCGCTTTGCCGCCCGGCTGTCAGCCCTGCTCCTGGCCCTGGGCGTCTGCGCCAACGTGCTGGCCGTGCCGCTGGTCCCTGGGAGCGACCCCACCGCCGTGCCGGTCCTGAAGCCCCGTCAGAACGCGCCTCAGGAGACTGTGGTGACTGTCACTGTTGCCAAGCCCGGGCCAGTCACGACCAGGATCATCACCGAGGATGGCACCACCCTTACGGGGGTTATCACTGGTCCCACCATCTTTCAAACCAGGGTGTCGACGCTTACCCTGATGCGGACGTCGACCAAGACATCTACCGCTTTGAGGACGACTACCGGGACGTCTACCAGGAGCACGACCCGTTCCGTTACTATCACGTCCCGCATCACCACCAGGATCGCCGGCGCGCTCAAGACCCTCACTATCCTGCGCACCACCACGGTGCCCCCGCGCACCACGACGCGCACCCTGACCCAGGTCCGCACCTCGACAGCGCCCACGCGGTCCGTTACGCTGACCTCGCGCATCACCACGAGGCTGTCTGGTTCCTTGACGACCCTGACCCAGATCCGCACCACGACGGCCACGGCCACGGCTCGCACCTCTACCGTTACCTCGGTCTCGGGCATCACGACCACGGCGAGGTTCACGACCATGGCCGCCGGCCCGACCAGCTCCGTCACCGTGGTCCGGGTCGTCACGGCCGATGGCACCACGGCGACGGTCACGCAGACGCTCCCGGCCAGCTACTTTATCGTCACCGAGGATGGGACCACAGTCACGTCAGTCGTCACGCCTGACTCGGAGACCGTTACGGCTGACCCGGAAACCGTCACGGCCAACGGCACGACCAAGACGGCCACCGAGACGGCCACCGAGACCCTCGCGGCCAACTCCCTAACTGTTACTGAGGACGGCACCACGGTTACTTCTGTTGTCACGGCCGATCCGCAGACTGCAACGGAGACTGTCACCGCTGGGCAGACGGAGACAGAGACAGTCACCGCCGGTCCACAGGCAGAGACTGAAACCGTCACAGCTGCGCAGACGGAAACCGAGACAGTTACTTTTGGGCAGACGGCAACAGAAACAGTTACCGCCGGTCTGCAGACGGAAACTGAAACGGCCACAGCTGGCCAACAGACAGAGACCCGGACCGTCATGGCCGATGCACAAACCGTGACGGAAACCGCCAGCATGGCGGCTCCGGAAACTGTAACTGTGACTGCTGATCCGCAAACCACAACGGAAACTGATGGCGCGGCGGCTGCGGCTGCAGAGACTGTCACTGTTACGGAAACGGCCGGAGCGGCAGCTACGAGTGTAGAGACTGTTACAATCACAGAGACCGCCGACACAGCAGCGACGGGAGCCGAAACCGTAACAGTCACGGAAACCGCAGGCACAGACGCTTCTGCTGGAGCAGAGACTGTCACCGTCACAGAAACAGCAAGCGCGGCAGCAGCAGCTGCAGAGACTGTGACCATTACAGAAGCGGATACTCCAACAACCGCGGCTCCGGAGACTGTCACGATTACGGAAACCGCGGGAACAGGATCGGGTGCAGAGACTGTGACTGTTACAGAAACAGATGCTACGGCAACTGCGGCTCCAGAAACTGTAACCATCACGGAAGCCGCCGGCACAGCACTTGAAGGCGCAGAGACCGTCACAGTTACAGAAACAGATGCCACAGCAACTGCGGCTCCAGAAACCGTCACAATCACGGAAACTGGCACAGCACCTGCAGGTGCAGAGACTGTTACCGTGACGGAAGCCGCAGACACAGCAGCTGTTGGAACAGAGACTGTAACAGTTACAGAAACCGCAGGCGCAGCCTCCGAAACAGCCGCCACTATAGCTGTGGATCCGGAAACTGTTACTATCACGGAGACCGCCGGCACGGCGGCAGCACAGCCGGAAACTGTAACCGTTACGGAAACAGCCGCCACTGCAACTGCAGACCCGGAAACCGTCACCATCACGGAAACCACCGGCACGGCAGCAGCACAGCCGGAGACTGTCACTGTCACTGAGCCAGCCGGCACGGCAGCAGCAGCGGCAGACGCGGAGACCGTGACGGTCACAGAAACTGGTGATGGACAGACTGTGACCCTAGCCACTACAACGGAGACGGATACTGTGACCGCAACAGACTCGGAATCCGAGGCGACTGTGACGGTCACTGAGGGCGTCGAGACTGTGACAGTTACCCAAAGCGCCGAAACTGTGACTGTCACAGACACTTCAGCAGATGCCAGCCCGGCGGCAGTGGCTTATACTGTCACTCAGACCGCCGACACGGTGACAGTTACCGCCACCTCGGCAGATTTCAGCACGGAAACAAGGATTTACACCATCACTCAAGGCGCTGACACGCAGACATTGACGATCGCCAGCACGGAAACAAGGGTCTACACCATCACTCAAAGCGCCGACACCATAACCATCACCAGCACCCAGCCCGCTGTTACACAGACTGTCAGCCAGAGCGCCGGCATCCAGACGGTGACAGTTGCTAGCACGGAAACCGATGTGTACACCGTGACAGCCGCAGACACACGGCCTGTCATGACTGAGACCGTCACCGAGAGCGCCAACGCCCAGACGGTTACCATTACCCAGAGCGCCAACGCGCAGGCCGTCGCCATGACCAGCACGGAAACCGACGTCTATACCGTGACAGCCACATACACGCAGCCCGCCATCACCCAGACAGTGACCCAAACTGCCAATGCGCAGACGGTAACCATGGCCAGCACGGAAATGCAGGTTTATACCGTCACGGCCACAGATGTGCAGCCAGCTGTCACCCAGACGGTGACCCAGACCGCCAGCGCGCAGACTGTGACCAGCACAGGGACCGACGTGCTCACGCTTGTCAGCACTCGGCCAGGCAGCGTCCAGACACAAACCGTGACCCAGGGTCCCGTTATCCAGACAGTTACCCAGGCCGCAGACGCACAAACGCAGACGGTGACCCAGAGTGCAGATACCCAAACTCAGACAGTCACCCTGAGCGCCGATACGGTGACTGTGACGCAAAACGCACCGGCCCAGACCCAGACTGTGACCCAGGGCCCCGTGACTGAAACCATCACGCAAACGGGCGATGCCCAAACGCAGACGGTCACTCTGAGCCCTGTTACGCAAACAGTCACCCAAAGTGCAGATGCCTAGACGCGGACAGTTACCCTCAGCCCCGCCACGCAGACAGTGACTCAAAACGCCCCTGCCGAGACCCAAACCCTGATCCAGAGCCCCATCGCGCAGACAGTCACTCAAAGCGCAGACGCCTAGACGCAGACAATAACGCAGAGCCCTGTCACCCAAACCATCACAGAGACGGCGCCAGCAAAGACGCAGACCATCACTCAAACCACAGGCGTGCTAGATTTGAACACACCCGCCACCCATGTGTGATGCAAGGGATCGGCAGGCCACATGTGGTTCGGTGCCTGCGGGGTCCGTTTCCGCCCAGGCTCAGGGGCTAATCACCCTCAACCTCTCTTCCCTTGTATCCTACGTAGACATGAACAGTCGGAACTTGGCGCGTTGATGCCAGTACCCTGCTTTATTCGATACCACATTCGCTCAAAATGTTTGGCGAGCGATGCACAATTTTCTCGTGGTGTTCCGTCGTTGACTTTTCGGGATATATGATGCTTTCGTATACCACCATGCTTTGAACTTGCAATTGGGAGTCAATACAAAAGCAGTGTCGCTTGGGATAAGACTGTGCCGGCCATGTTCGGCCCCTGACCGCCGACGTTTGCCTCTTGGACGCCGCTGTCTGCCGTCGCCGCAGACTTCTCATTGCTACGTCACGTCTCTGACCCGTCTCCTCCGTCTCGCCCAGGGCAGGCAGGGCCAATCTGCCAGATACCAAATCCCTGGATGGCCTAGGGGGGGCTGGCTAGAACTCGACAGGGCCGCCTTTCGCAACCCTCATCGGATCCACACAGACGTGTGGTCTTGGCAAGCGCGACTTTGCGACCGAGGCGGGATTCGACAGCCGATGGTCGAGGGACAGCTGAAGCGCGCATGGGAGGCCCTTTTTCTATATTTTCTTATTCAGTTCTTCACTCCCATCTTGCCGGGGGTTTTTGGGAAGCCCTCGTCCCAACCAACCGGCGCATTCGCAGCCGAAACCGGCCCAAGGATGGCCCCTGGACGGTGGGCGGGCGTTGTGAGCGCGGGCAGCCAACCAGCACATTGGACGACCCGAATGCGACGCGCGCTGGCACCTGGGAGTTGGCTGCGCGTCGGGCGTCATGCGGCAGACTTTGGCAGATGGACCAATGCGCGCGTCTGGGTGGCCTGATAGCCGTCTATGGTGTGGGTGGATGGGTTATTATATAGGTATATTATGACGTTTGTGCCCTCGACTCTTTTCCCCTTTTCTTCTTCAGACGGGATGGCAACCTTCCTGTCTGTGGCGTTGACGAGATCCTCCATTTTGGGATTTCCAACGATCGAAATCTATTGTTCCCTCCTGTCATCGCTCCGGGCCAGTCTCTGTCCGCCCGTCCCTGCCGGAGCTGTGCACCTACATTAGGGCCGCAGCACCGCCCTGCAAGCACCACAACCGACCGATGACGTACAAAACTCTAAACCTACGGTGGACGGCCATATAACCGGCGTCAGCACCTGCACGCTGGATGGGCTTTCATCCACGCATCGGGCTGCTACTGTGACTTGTTCGGCAGGTTCCAACTTGAGACAGAGAAACAACAGAAAAAAAAATGAAATTACACTACCCGAGCATCATCGGCATCGTCACGGCCGCCGCCGCCGTCGGCATGGGCATCGCCCTCCTGACGGCCACCGGCTCTGCGCCCAATGCCGGCGTCGAAAATACGTGGATAACGGTACGAGAGCCGCCCTCATAGTGAAAAAAAGAAAGAACCCAAAAAAGAAAACCCCCGGGCTGACATCCACCACACACACAGCTCAACACGTCCCGGGCCGGCCAGAGCACGGTGCAAATATCGCAGGTGCCTAGCAACAACCCTGGCGTCGACCCTAATAGCCTGACGGGGATCCTGACCGGCCTACTCGACGGCCTACTCGGCAGCCTGACGGGCGCCGTGAACGGCCAGCTGAACGACCTGCAGGGCGAGCTGGTGCGCAACCTGACGCGCAAGGTCGGCCTGCGCCAGGCCTACCTCTTCTTTGTCAGCCACGTGTGCGAGGGCGACTTTGTGAATCCGAACGATACGGACTCGGCCGTCAACGTGACGAGGTGCTATTCGTACAAGGACAAGTCTGAGGGTGGGTTTTTCTTTTTTTTTTTCTTTTTTCTTTTTGGGAGGGGCAGCCCATATGTCCTTTTGCCAACACCACTAACACAAACCGAACAAAAAAAGGCCTCCGCCGCATCTCGTCCCAGATCCCCTCCTCCTTCGTCTTTGGCTCCACAAACGTCTCTATCCCCCTCGTCGCCGTCCTCGGCAACACCCTCTCCTCGCTCGTCGACCTGGCCACGCAGGGGTCCGCCTTCATGCAGGCCATGCTCGTCGTCGGCGTCGTCTGCACGGGTCTCGTCCTCGTCGGCTCTCTAATCTTCGTCGTCGCCCTGCAGCGCCGCCCCGTCGCAATCGCCCACCTGGCGCTCGCGCTCCTCGGCTCCGCCGCGTTCTGGGCCGCCGCCGTGGCCGCCACGGCGGTCGCGTACGGCGGCGCGGGGCTCATCAACGGCGGCGGCGGCGAGGCGCTCGGCGTGCGCGCGTCGGCGGGGTCGCGCCTCGTCGCCATGGCGTGGGTCGCGGCCGTCCTGTCGGCGCTGGCGGCGCTGCACTGGTGGGTCGTCTGGTTCGTCGAGTTCAGGCGCCACGCCTACGCCAAGCGCCGGCGGACGCCGCAGCAGCTCGGGAGCTACAGGGGCATCCTGCGCGAGGTGCGGACCGACCGGACGCTGCCGCGCGAGGCGGAGCCCGTGGTCAAGGAGGAGGCGGGCGTGGGGGCGGGGAGGGATGATTTGAGGGCTGGGAGGATTTGAGGGGTTGTGGGATGATGGGATGGGTATGTGTGCTAGGGCTGAAAGCATAAGCCGACTTTTATAAAAAGAAATACAGCATGGCGGGCTCGTGTTGGTTTGAACAGGATGTGTTCTCATTCTACTGCGGGGCACAATATCGGCACAAAGGGGGAAGACTTTGGGTCGAGCCATGTTAGAAACAAGTGTAGATGGTATATAAACCCAAGGTAAGCTACGCACTATAAAGGCGGATGGAGCGCTGATTGATAGGCCCCAGACTGGAGAGAAGATGACGGAAATAGTAGGAGATATGAAAGGACACAGCAACGCTCAAAGCCGCCCACCAAAACAACCCTGTTGAGGGAGAGATTAAAAAGCCACCCCGACGCCGAGCCATTGACAAAAGAACCCACAAAAAGAAAATCACGCAAACTTTGGCACAAGCCTGCTCCTCTCCGCAACGAGCGCCGCCAGCGCGTCGATGCTCGGGCGGTCCGACATCTCAAAGACGGACAGCTCGGCGCCCAGCTCCCTGCCGAGCCAGGCGCGCAGGCTGACCGAGATGAGCGAGTCGACGCCGTAGGCGTGCAGGGGGCGGGCGCCGTCCAGGTTGGACAGCTCCACTCTCAGCACGCGCGACAGCTTGAGCAGCAGCGCCTCGAGCACCACGGCCTCGGCCTCGGCCGGGGACGTGGTCGCCGCCAGGAGCGCCGCCGCCTCCTTGTCCTTCTTGGTGTTGTTGTTGTTGTTGTTGTTGCTGTTGTTGTTGTTGTTGCTGCTGCTGCTGCTCTTGTTCCCCGAAGACGACGGCGACGACGACGACGACGACGACCGCTCGCGCAGGTGCGAAAACAGCGGGTCCCGCACCCACGACGGCGCCTGCAGGCCCTCGTCCATCGTCTCGGTGGCCAGCCACAGGCGTGGCGCCACCTGCGCGCGCGACACCACGTCCTCGAACCGCTGCTGCTGCGGCTGCAGGAGGCAGTACAGCTCGAGCGTGGCTAGCAACTCGTCCTCCTCCAAGTAAGACCAGCCCGCGGCGCGGAGCTGCTCCATGAGCTCGGGCCTCTCGGCCACGAACCCGACGTCCTGCAGCACCGGCAGGTCCAGGGACGCAAAGACGCAGCCGCCTCCTGTTTTGCTCTGCGCCGCCGAGAGACTGCGCGCCAGGGCGTCCTGGAAGGTGGCGGCGGCCGCGTAGTTGGCCTGCTCGGGGGCGCCGATGAGGCCGGCAAAGGACGAGAGCATGACGAAGAAGTCGAGCTGCCCGCCCAGGCACTCGACCAGGTTCAGCGACCCGTCCACGCGCGGGCGCACCGTGGCGTCCCACTCGGCCAGGGACATGCCGGCGAACTTGTTGTCGTTGAGCACCATGGCGCCCTGGACGCAGCCGCGGATGGGCGGCATGGCAGGGCGGCACTCGTCCACGGCGCGCCGCACCGCCGCCGCGTCCGCCACGTCGCACGCCACCGCCACCGCCTGCTCGCACCCGCCCTCTCCCAGCAGCTCCGCCACGAGCTCGCGCGCCTCGGCGCTGGCCGCGCCGCTGCGCGACAGCAGGATCATGTGCCTGGCGCCCCGCGCCACCATCCACCGCGCCACGGACCGGCCGACGCCGCCCGCGCCGCCCGCGATGACGTAGGACGCGTCCGCCTTGAACTTGAGGTCGGCGGCAGCGGCGTCGTCGTCGTCGTCGTGGCCCGCTGTGCTGGTCGGGGTGGCCACCGTCATCGTCGCGTCCCGCAGCAGCCGGCCCAGCGCCTCTGAGACGCGGGCGGACGACTTGGTAGTAGGGACGGCTTCGCCATCGGTTGGTGACGCGGGCCGCTGCTGCTGCGGTTGGCCCTCGAAGAAGGCCATGGCCCGCTCGAGCACGGCGCGCGCCCCCTCGGCGTCGGCCGAGACGAGAGCCTCGACGTCGACGGTGTCGAGGCGGACGTTGCTCCGACCCACGACGGCCGCCGTCTGCTGGCGGCTGCTGCTGCTGCTGCTGCTGCTGCTGCTGCTGCTGCTGCTGCTGCTGCTGCTGCTGCCTCCCTCGTCGCCGCCCGTGGGCACCATGTCGACGAAGCGCCCAAACGTGGCGACGCAGTCCAGCAGCATCCGCCTGGTCTCCTCCGAGGCGGACCGGGACACCTCGACCACGACCTTGGCGCCGCGGCCGCCGGTGCGGTCCCTGATGGCGGGGCCGAGCGACTCGTCGTCGCCCGACAGGACGTGGTCGGCAGCGAGCCCGTACGCCTCGGCCCCCTGGGCGCCCCAGGCGGCGCCGGCGGCCTCGACGGCCACAAAGACCTCGGCGCCGTGGTGGTGCGCCAGCTGAACCGCGGCCTGGGTAACAGAGGCCTCGCTCTTGGACGCCGGCGCGGCGTGGATGAGGACCACGTCGCCTTCCCGGACCGCGTCCATCTCCCGCAGGGCCGTCCAGGCCGCCAGGCGCCCGAGCGCCGTGGCCTCGGCCTCGGTCAGCGACGATGGGGTCTCCTCCCCCTCCTCGGCCAGGGCCGCCGACGCCGGCGCGCTGGCGGCCTGCAGGTGGCGCACGAGGTGCGTCGCCTCGACCAGCCTGGGCACGTGCACGACGCCGTCGGCGACCCTGAAGGTGTTGTCGGGCTGCGCGTCGTCCATGGCGATGGCGGCCTTGTTCTGCGCCAGGATCTGCAGCGTCTTCTCGGCGATAGTGTCCCCGCTCTCGCTCTCGGCGAACGAGACGGTGACGAACTGGAGCGCTCCCCGGCCGCCGGCGCGGCCCTCGCCCCGCACGGTCCTGGCGAGGCCCGTGACCAGCTCGTGGTGCGGATCCGCCACGAGCCCGACGCCGCCGCGGCCGAGCCAGACCAGCGTGCCGCAGCGGCTGGTCAGGTCCCTGAGGGCCGTGAAGAACCCCTCGCTCATGCCGCAGAGCGCGGGCGAGTCCAGCTCCGTGAGGGCGATGCACGTGGCGCCCTCAACAGGGAGGCCCTTGGTGCCCGTCATGGTGGTCGTCCTCACCACGGCGCCCTGGGTGGAAAGCGCGGCAGACAGGGCGTCGGCGACGTGCACCTGCAGGGCCGACGGCGCGACGTCGACCAGTATAAAGACGGAATCCTGTTGCTTCCGAAACCCGTCGACAGCAGCAGCAGCAGCAGCAGCACCCTCGGTCGCGTCAGCCGGCGGCAGCGCAGTCGACACCAGCGTGGAGCTGGTCCTGTACTCGGAGTCGGGGAAGTCGCTGAAGACGGCGTCGAGGCCGCTGAAGCCAACCTTGCCCAGCGTCGACCGCCAGCTCTCGACGGGCATCAGCGGCCCGCCCTCGCGGCCGTCCTCGGAAAGCCACCAGCCGGGCAGGGCGCCGAAGCAGAAGGCGCTGAAGGCGACGTCCGTGTTGGTGAGCTCGAGCACGAGGAGCTTGCCGCCGGGCTTGAGCAGCCTGCGCACGTTGCCGAGCGTGCGCGTCATGTCACTAGTGGCGTGCAGCACGTTGGCCGCCAGGACGAGGTCGTAGGACCCGGCCTCGAACCCCTGCTCGGCCGGGTCCTTGTCGATGTTGAGGATGCGGTAGCTCATGTTCTCCTCGTGGTCCTTGAACGCCTCGCGCGCGTTCTCGAAGAAGCTGGGCGAGATGTCTGTAAAGTCGTAGTGCCCGAACCGCCTGGTGCCGTCGGCCACGTTGGCGAGAGTGTCCAGGACGTGGCCCGTCGTGCCGCCCGTGCCGCTACCGACCTCGAGGATCTTCATCTTGGGGTTCCTGTGCGCCAGGGCGTCGAGGTAGGAACACAGCTGCGCGGCGCAGCGGCGCGAGCCCTCCGAGTAGCGGTACACATTCTCGGCCGCGCGGTCGCCGAAGATGATGTCCAGGGGCTCCGTCGCGCCCAGCAGCATGCCCGACAGGTTGCGGCCAACCACCGTCACCAGCTTGCCCTCGGGCGTGCCCGCGACGCGAGCCTCCAGCTCGGGCATCTCGCCCATGGCGGCCTGCACCGCCGAGGTTGCGACCACATTGCGCATCCACGAGACGTAGTGCTTGTGGTGCCACTGCATCCCGTCAACCTCGCTTTCCTTGAGCGACTCGAGGAACTGGCGCATGTAGAGCACCGCGAGCGCCTCGCAATCGGCCATGCTCTTGATGGCCAGCGACACGTCCTTGTCCTTTTCAGACTCCGGGCAGCCAAACACCCGGGCGGCCTCGGCCGCGTTCAAGAGCGTAGGGTCGGGCTTCCACTGCAGAGCCAGCGCCGGACGGTGGACGCCCTCGAGTCGCCCTTGGCCGCCGGTGCCCGGCAGGGCCTTGAACACCAGCCCCTTTATGGTGACCACTGGCAGGCTGGTTTCGGCGTGCAGCGCCGTGATGGAAGCCCGCGCATCCCGGTAGCCCGGGCCTGGCTTGGTAAGCGCCGAGATCATGTACGAAGAGTCGTGCAGGTTCGGGACGCCGCCGCCGTGCTCGTCGGCGGCCGAGATCCAGAGTTCGCTCGCGTGGATGGGGACGCACGAGTCCTTGACGCCGCGGCCCGAAGAAGCCGCCCCCAGGTCGAGCAGTGGCACGAGCCCGGCCTGGATGACGGCGTCGAGTGTCGAGGGGTGGACCATGTGAGGCTGCAGGTACTGGAGCGGCGCGGCCCTGCGGATCTTGGACACCAACGCGTCCGCCTGGGCGAGCACCCTGTTGCCCGAGAGTTTGACATCCCTGAGGGTCTGGAAGGTAGGCCCAAAGCCGAGGCCGATGTCGCCAAAGGCGCGGTAGAGCTTCGCAGCCTTCACCTTGGAAGTGCACCGCTTCGCCTCCTCGAGGACCGCCTGGCCGTCGGCGGGCGTGAGGGCGTCTTTGCTATACTCGGTGCGCACGAAGCCGCGGCAGTGCTCCCTCCAGTCGTCGCCCTCGGAGGTCCACAGCTGGAACTCACTCCAGCCGTCGCGGCCGGCCTCGCGCGACGGCCGCAGGAAGAAGTGCGACTCGACGCCAAGCTCCGTGTCGGGAACCAAGAGGGCCGTGTGGAACGAGACCTGGCTGAACCTGAAGCCCGAGACGGCGGGCCGGGTCTCGTTCTCGGCAGCCTCCAGCGCGGCAACCTGGCGGCTGGCCTCGATGGCCATGACGAGCATCCCCGCCGCCGGGTACAGCACGTCGGCCCCGACGCGGTGGTCCTCGACCCAGGTGTTCTCGGACCGCCTGATGTAGTTGCGCCATACGGCGTTGCCGTGGCGGTTCCACCCCGGCACGGGCGCGCCCAACAGCTCGTGGCGAGGGGCATGCCTCAAGCGGTGGTTGCGGCTCAGCCTGCTCTCGAGCCAGTACTCCTTGGTGTGGTTGAAGGGGTACGACGGCAGGTCCGTCAGCATCTTGACCGGGTCGCCGTCGGCGCCATCGAGGCGCCCCGCCGCCGCCGCCGCCGCCGGCCGTTGCCTGTTCACGGCGGCCAGGTCGACGGGGAACCCGCGGCAGAAGAGCGTGCCGGCCGCACCGAGCGAAGTGTCCACGGCGGACTCGTTGCGCTTCAGAATCGTCTCGTAGCCGACCTTGGAGGCCGCCGCGCCACGGGCCTGTTGGATGATGCTTCGAAGAGGGCCCCTGAGGGCGCTGTGAGGACCGATCTCGAGAAGGTCTGTGATCTGCTCCTTTCCGTGGCCTAGGCTGCCCGTGTTGAGGTCGCTCTGGAGCAGCTGGGTAACGGCTTCGTGAAACCTGACGGGAGAGACGAGGTTATCGACCCAGTAGTCCGGGCTCCGTAGCCGGGACGTGGGGATGAGCCCACCCTCGAGCGACGAGAAGTACACGGGCGTCTGCCCTTCTTGTGCTGGTGCAGGAAGATCGCTGGAGATGTCGCCCATGTACCTCCGGTAGTCGTCAACTATGGGCTTCATGTGGCGCGAGTGGTACGCAATCTCGACGTTGAGCCTCCTGGCAAAGACCTTGTCATTCTTGAGCATCTCGACCAACGCGTCAAGCTTTCCGACGTCGCCGCTGACGGTGACGCTATCTTGGCTGTTGAGGCACGCAATCTCCAGGGTCCCGTGGTCCATCATGGCGTCGACACGCTTGATGGCCGCCATGGTCTTGTCCTTGTCGAGACCGACGGCCGCCATGCCCGTCTTGGGCTTCGACTGCTGCTCGTCCAGGCTGCCGCCGGTCGACGCCAGCGTCTCGGCCCGGATCAGCCCCTTGGAGAGCTTGCCCCGGTAGTAGGCGATGCGCCAGGCCGACTTGCGAGACAGCTGCCCTGCCGCATAGGCCGCAGCGATCTCGCCCGACGAGTGGCCGACCACGGCGTGCGGGCGGACCTTCCAGGTCCTCAGCAGGTCCACCAGCGCGATCTGCACCGCCGTGCAGATGGGCTGGCTGAACTCGGCATCGTCGATCCTGGAGCTCTCCTTGTTTTTGCAGAGCTCGTACGTCAGCGACCACACACACCCCAGGCTGTTGAGGTACTCGTCGGCGGCATATAGACTCTCCCGGAAGGCAGGGTAGGCCCAGATCAGCCGCCTGCCCATCGATGGCCATTGGGCGCCCTGGCCCGTAAAAACAAAAGCGAGGCGCGGATCCGTGGCCGCCCTGGTGACGATGGGCTTGGCCTGGAGCGATGTCATGAGCTCCCTGCGCGACTTGGCCGTCGTGCACGCCCTCCAGCCGTGACGCGTCCTCCGGCAGGCAAGCGTGTAGCTCAGGTCGGCCACGAGCTCGTCGCGGTTGCTCTTGGAAGACGTCGACGACCATGACGACGTGCGGGATCGCGACGATCGTGCAGTGGGGCTACGAAAGCTCCTTTTGGGTGCCGAGGCGATATAATCCCTGATCTGGCCCTGCACGCGCGTCACGCCTTCTTGGTCATAGGCCGAGAACACGAACAGCAGGGGCTCCTGACTGCTTCCGTCTTGCGGCTCAGCAGCTGTCACGTGCGCGGTGGCGATGGCGGTGGCGGTGGCGGTGGCGGTGGTGGTGGCAGTGACAGGCGCATCGACAGCAGCCAGGAGGGGCGAGCGCGAGCCCGCCGGTGATTTGGACCCGGATGATTCGTTGTCGGTCAGATCAATGCCCGAGTCCGACCTGGCACTTACAGAGCCGGCAGATGTGGCAGACCCTGCGTCCTCCTCGTCGCCACGCAGTGCTGCCAGCCCCCGCTGAGGCGGGCGGGAAACAACGACAGGAGGAGCGACGGCGGCGGCGGCGGCGGCGGGAGCAACCGGGGATGCGATGGTGCGGTGGCAGCCAGACATATAGTGCTGTGCAAGAAAGTTCAGGGCATCGTCCATGACGACGTGGGCGTTGCTGCCGCCCACGCCAAACGAGTTGATGGACATGCGGCGCAGTCCGCGCTGCGGCCACGCCATGGGCGCCGTGGGGAACTCGAGGTTCCACTCGTCCAGTATCTTGGGATTCCGCTTCTCGAACCAAGTGTTTGCCGGGATAACGCCGCGCTCGAGCGTCAGCACGCCCTTGATGACGGCAGCGACGCCCGCAGCACCCTCAAGGTGGCCAACGTTGCTTTTCAGCGCGCCCACGTAAAGCGGCGCGCCCGGCGAGCGGTAGCTCGAAAACACTTGCCCGATGGCGCCAGCCTCGATCGGGTCGCCCACCGCGGTACCGGTACCGTGGGCTTCGAAAAAGCGCGTGGCCGAGGGGTCGAGCCCGGCCCCAGCATAAACACGTTTGATGAGGTCCACCTGGGCGGCCTTGCTCGGTGCTGTAATGATGGGTGACCGGCCGTCCTGGTTCGACCCGGTGTTGCGAATTACAGCGCGGATCACATCGCCATCGCGAATAGCGTCCGCCACACGCTTGAGAATAACCACGCCGAAGCCCTCGCCACGCGAGTACCCGTTCCCTCGGGAGTCGAAGCTGTACGACACGCCGTCAGGCCCAAGCACGCCGGCTCCGTCCAGCAGCTGGGAGAACTCGGGCGAGATTATGAGATTGCAGCCGCCAACCACAGCCATGGACGCCTCTCTCAACTTGAGCGAGTTGCAGGCCTGGTGTAGGGCGACCAGACTGCTGGAGCATGCCGTGTCAATGGTCATGCTCGGCCCCCTGAGGTTGAAGCACCATGACACGCGGTTGCTGAGCATGCTGGCAACACTGCCCAGGGCCGAGTACTTGGACGGGATGTCAAGGTCCTTCAGCGTCATCCTATCGTAGTCTGAGTACATGCAGCCAACGTAGACGCCCGTCTGGGTCCCCGCCACCTGCTCTAATGGTATCCCGGCTGTATTCGGGCGTGTCAGTTGGCCATCTCGATTCGCTTATCTGGCGACTAAATCGCGCACGGAGATGGTCTCCGACCGACGAGGGAGGTCTGGGGGAAAAAAAAAGACTCACCATTTTCTAGCGCCTTGTAGACTGCCTCCAACATGCCGCGCTGCTGAGGGTCCATGGCGGACGCCTCGGCGGGCGTGATGGAGAAGAACGGGGCATCGAAGGCCGATATGCTGCCCTTGAGGAAGTGTGCAGCCTTTGCCCTGACCTACATGTTTCATATCTGTCAGCACGTCCTTTTTTTTGACTTTGGCGAGCAACAATGGCAGCCCGAGTAAACCAAGGAACAAAAACTCACATTGCCGCTCCTATCACCGGATGGATGCCAGAAGGAGTCTGCGTTGTACCGGTCCTCGGGGATCTCGGTCCGGGCCGACCGGCCAGCGAGCAGAAACTCGTAAAAGCGCTCAGCGGTATCCCCATCACCGGGGAACCTGGCGTCTAGGCCAATGACAGCAATGGGCTCGTCCATTGTGTATGTGTGTGATGTATGTGAAGATGCGTCCTCCCAGTCCTTGAGGACAGTATGCGTTTGCTCGTTGCGCAGGGGAGACCCCAAAGCGCGAGACGTTAAATTTTGGCCGTCCTTTTGTGTTTTCCTTGACCTGCTATGACGTTTGAGGAAGTGCAAGTCAAGGGGCAGGCGTGGGTGATTTTCAACAATGAGACACAAGCACACTGGCTTGAGCCGGTTTACCACGAGGGAGGTGAGCCGTGGTAAAATAGGAATAAGAGGGGGCAGTGGCTGGGCAGGTAGGGTCAGGCCTGCTTGGTGTGGGAGGTGTCGTCTCGGATCGCGAATCTCGAGACGACCCACGGGGATTTCGCTTCCTTATTATCTAGGGACCGTGGCTACGGATGGGCTAGCGGGAACCTGGGCCATGACGGGAACGGGCCCATGGATGTGCAAACATACGATTACGTTGTTCCGTCTCCATTCGGTCCACCGAGGCAGTCCGCCCACAGCTCCTCCTCTCGACAGGTTCGGCGCGATAGCAGATGCGCAGGAGTCTCGTCTCGACGCCCGAACATCCTGGTGGCGTTGCCGACGGCCAGGGCCCCGGCGCATCCCACCCCTTGGGGTGTCCAATGGCGATGGGCCATGGCACAGCATGAGGGCTCGAAGAGGGGAGGGCGACGATGGATGCCAGCACACCACACGCTAGGCGGCTATTTAAGTGTGGGCATACAGACCAGTAGCATGTGGGCCGGTTCTGCATTATCACCAAGGAGGAAGCAGCCAAACTCCTTCGCGGTGCAGCTGTTGGACCGGTGTTGATTGTACATGGAACCCCGTCTAGGTGCTATTGGAAACCCAGATCGAGCATAAGGTTGGATGGTCCCACAGGCCCCATGAGTGCGCCATCATCCATGTCGGATGAAAAAAGTAACAATAGGCCCCGGGATAAGCCAGCGCGTGCGGGCAGCGCGTGCGGGCAGCAGCGGAGAGGGACCTTTCCCCCACAAGCTGCGCTGATGTCGAGCCCGGCGAACCAACTCACAACACTGCGGGGCGGATCTTGGTCAGTCAGATGCCCCGGGATTGGGGATCCAAGGGGTGTCAGCTAGGGGGCCAGGGGGCCAGGGGGCCAGGGGGGCCAGGGGGGCCAGGGGGCCGGGTTCGGGGGAACGACATTGGACGGGAGAAGAATTCGATGGGCGGGCAGGCGGGCGAGCCAGCTTGACTAGGAAACCTGGCCGATGAGATCCGCAGCTTCGGACAGCGTGGACCCAGGCGAATGAGACGCCTTCTCGGAGCCCCCACACAAAGCATGGCGCAATGTACACAGTATACGACAGTAGCGAGAGACAGGTGTGGGCAGACACCACGCTAGCCAAGGGGGGCGGGCTGGCGTGCCGGATAGACGGCGCCGCACCTGGCACATTGACGCTCGATGCTACTGTGTACGCGGGCAAGAAGAGCGTCCTTCTTACGCGTACGTTAGCACGCCCGGATAAAAAAGAACTGAACGCTTTTCAATTTTTGCGGTGGTATGCGCTGGGGCAAAAATTGAAAAGTGTTCCTTTTTTTCTATCCGGGCGTGGTTAGTAAGGCGGGCGAGGGACGACGGGGGCCGGGGGTGGACCAGGACAGAGAGCCACCCATCCATCGCCATCGACAGCCCAAACCTGGCCGAGGAGACGTTATGCCAACAGCCTCGCTAGTTTGGGATCGTGACGATGCTAGTGCAGAAAGCAAAGATGGAGGTCGACGACGGTCGAGATGGAGGTTACAAAGCCCGGGTCGAGGGAAGGCCCAGGATGGACATCCGCCGTAAGCCGGGCGGGCAGCAGCACCCACGCCAACCCTAGCGGGACAAGCGTCGCCGGCTTCCTAGGCGCTAGGGGCCGTGATAGGTGCGCGGCTCAACTTGGTGGACACGAGGGCGCTGCAGCCGGTCAGATAAGCAGGTGGGGGGCCATCGGGGACGGATGGCTGCAGACCAAGCGCCGCTGTTGGCGGACAATTCCGCGCAGAAGGCCGGCAACTTACAGCACATGACATCCATGTCGTCCCATCGGCGTTGGCGTTTTGGATGGGAAAGGTGAACTTGTCGTTGCGCCAACAGGCAGGGGGGGGAGGGGAGGTAGAAAGACAAGAAAAAACCAAGAATCATTCAGCCGATCCTAGTCCGACTAATGCGGAAAGCCGCAGTAGTCAATGGGCATGAAGTTGGGGTGCACAGCCAATTACAATCTGCCCAACTAGCCGCAGGTGGTCCGCTTTTTTAAGGTGGGCTGGGTGGGTTTGAGGATGCAGGCGGCAGGCACACACCCAGACAAAGAAGGTGCTGACGACGGACCCTTTCCATTTATCCATTTCGAGGGGTATTGTCCCGCCTGCTTAACTGTTTTGCTGTTCCTGCTGTGCAGCCAAATACAGGATCCGCAACAATGTGCACAAGAGGGCTCTTTCCATGCTGCTATCCAATCGAGAGGGGGCTTGGCTGCGTGCGAATCACCTGACAATCTCTCAACCAAACCACGACGGAAAAATGGTCTGGGGCGTTGATCCCTTGCTTGACTAGAGCCTGGAGTGTCTGGCCAGGAGGCATTTCGGTCGGTTGGAAGCGCTATGCTACGCAAATTGGGCTCTTTGCCAACTGGAAGAGCCCAAAAAGGCAATGAGAAACGCCCAAAAGCGGCCAAGGAAAGGAACGAGACAAACAACAACCATCTAAACTTGTCAAGACGTGCCGCACCTGATTATGTTACTAGTGTCGCCGATGTCACTGCAGTTACCGGTCTGATGATGTCGCTAGTGTCCAGTTGGTTGCGCGCATACATTGGGAATGATTAGGAATGGAATGTGGTAATGCGACCAAGCAATCGGGACGCAGTAGCCCCGAGCCGCTGGGTGGGAGGTGTGGACGTGTCTAGTGCGTGTGTTGGCTGTCCGTCCATGGATGGGGATTCCATGGATGAATCATTCGTGTTGGATTCCTTGCAGCAAAACGCCAGCGAAACCGCTAAATAAGAATGTGCCCTCTACTGCAGCCGCAACTTCAGGTGTCATGGTGACGTGACAAGCAGCGAAAATTGGAATCCTCCCCGCCACGGTTTCCCACCCAAACTCAACCTCTCCCAAACACAATTGCACCAGCACCAAAGCCAAACAACATGCCCGCGCACCACTCTACACCT